ACGGAGGATCCCGCTTATGATTGGCTCCGTTTGGAGGTGGTAACATTGTGCAGCTGGCGAGGTAATCCTTTCTTTGCAGAAATTGGTTGGTACAGCAAAATTGCTTTTCCTTCTTTGTTTTTAGGAACTCCGATCGATCGATCAATAGATCGATCCATCCATTGATTGGTTGGTATGGATTCAGCACAAAGATGCCCAACTTAATTCAAGACCATATGCAGTCTTATTAAATAACAATCGGGATTACAGAAATAAATTCAGAAATGCGAGAAATTAACACTTTACTATGCTTTGTTCCCCTTTAGTCCTTCCAACAGCTCTCAGCATCGTATCCCTTACAGCAAAGGAGTTTTTTAAAAAAGATGAAAACAGCTAACCCCTTCTCTATGTGTTTTGTGTGCTGTCAAATTTTTTAAAAATTCAAAATCGTACATGCATTTGGTGGTACAAAAATGTGGACGCAGGTTGCAAATTTTGGTGGGATTTGTAATTTTTCACTCGCATTAATTTGCCTTAACGAATGCTTTCCCAAGTTGGGGGAGGCTGGCTTTTGGCGCACCGGATGCAAGGTCCGTTTGCAGGGAATGACGCTCTTCTCCCGGCAGACAGATTTATTCTCATTTTGTCCAGAGCCAACGGCCGTCTGCTGACTTAGGGTTATTTGATTTCACTCAGCCTAAAACCCTATAATTTGAAACAGAAGATCTGCTCAAGCGATCTATCACAACTTCGCTTGGGAAGCCTGGGAAAGATGGCAGGTGCCTGGGCGAGGCACCTCCAGCAGGCCTACCACAACATTAATATTTTTGGGGGTGCTAGTTTTGGTCGAGCTCATAGGACTGCATAGTCCCCTCAAAATCAATCCATCCAGCAACCCTGACCCCTTTTAAAAGGACCCCAAGAAAGGGTAATTTTTATTTTTAAGTGAATAAAACGAACAAGCAAAACGCTCCATTAAGGTTGAGAGAACCTTGAATAAAAACTTGGAAAAATAAATAGGGAGGCAAGAGACACGAAGTGCTAAAGCTCAAACTTTAAAAGAATTTTGACAGCTAAAAAGGAAAAGTCATTTTCTTGGAAAAAAAATGGTGGGGGATTCGCTTTCTCAGGTACCCAGAGCCTTCCAGGAAATGTGACTCGGTTGTAAGCTGTCAGACAATACCAAGCAAAGAAGTTACAGGAACTGCGGGAAAGGCTACCTCAAAGGGGGAAGGCACTCTGCACATGCTTAGAGACACCCTCTCAGGAACTGCCTTCTGAGTTCGGCCCTGGCAAGCCAGAAGACAACTGCATTTCATGTGGCTTATGATTTCTCTTACCATTATATGGCTCGAAGGGAAAAAAAAGAAGCACACAGGTCTTCTGGAGGGCGTGTGAAGATGCCGAATTGATTCAGGTACTTGGGATTTGAGAAAAGGAGCAAAGGGACAGTTTGCCGCTGCCTGCGCTGCCAGGTGGTTAATGTTACTGTCGGAGCGAGGCCTCTGCCGCTGCAGAAGAAGCGGAAAGTTTGTGTTGCTATTTTCCCACTGGATGCTGGTCTGGCTTCCTCCCTCTCTCTCCTAAACCGCATGCCTGCAACGCTGCTCAGCGCACTTGCAATTTTACGCATGGCAGCTTTTAACCAGAGCGCTTGGCCAGGAAACCTGGAAGATGGCAAGAGTGCCTCTGAGCATGTCACCACCCCACCCGCATCTGGGATTAAGGAGATTGTTCTCCCGGGACATGACGACTGGATTAAGTAGGGATGGCGGAGGGTCAGGGACTGCTCTCCGTCCCGATAGAGCGTGTGTCTCCTTAAACAGTTAATGCGTGATGGAAGCGCTACTATATCGATTCTGGAATCTCTTAGCCAAAACCCGGCTTGGCCCAGCCCAGCCTCTGCCTGTATCGGGAGCAGACAGACCTCAACCCCCAGCAGCTCCGGCCAGCACAGCCAGTGCTTAGGAATGCCGGGAACTGAAGTCCACGACATCACCAGCTCTTCCTTGCGGCGGGGAAAAGATCACCAGATATGCTGGTCTCCTACTCCTGGCATCCTCAACCAGCACGACTTAAGGAACAGGAAAAGGGGCGACTGAAGCCCCAAAGGCCGACTCAACGTCAGTAAAGAAAGGGACCCCACCACTGTCCTCTCTAAAGAACAGTGGCAGGCGAGATAATTTTAACCTCTGGATTTGGCCACTGAATGCCAAAATGGGGTCATTTCCGAGGTGCATAACCTCCCCTGCTGTTTATTCCCCCTGTGGGATTTTGCAAAATACGATGTTTTCCTTTGGGGAGCGGAAAGCCTCTTCCAGCCCCTTCAGTTTAACCTTTCTTTTCCCTCCCTTTCACCATCTCTTTCTTTCTTAATTCAGATCTGGACGATGCTATGCATCAGCGGCACAGCAAAATAAAACCTGGCATTTACGAAACTCATTCGCAGGATACAGCTTGGGGCATTGGTCCTTATGGGGGTGTCCAGCTGTCCTCCTCCGCCTGGAAGAGGCGAGGGGCACAATCTGGGAATCGCCCCATATCTGGGATGCATCAGATCACATTTTCCGGAGCACGACTTGAGCCTTAGGCTGCGTTTCTAATTGGATTGACTTGGAATTAAATCTGACTGAGAAACCAGTTGGACTTGCTTCTGAGTAAACACGGTTAAAATCAGGCCGTGTTTTGCCAGCGTTCTCTTGCTTAGAAGTGCCATGATAGTGTTATCCTACGGGACAACCTGTACTTGGGCTCCTTAAATGCATTTAAGCCCCTGCTTTCCTCTTTCTGCCGCTCCAGGGAGAGCAGGCCATAGTTCGAATCAGTTTGGCTTTTCATAGGATCCTAGAGTTGGAAGGGGCCAAGAAGGCCAACAGGTCCAACCTGCAATCAGTATTTTCTTTTAAATCCACTTTCTTTCCCCCCTGAAGATGACAAGCTTTGCACCTTGCATTAACTCCTCTCAGAAACAAATGTCTCACCTATTTGTCCTGGCTAAGCTCAAGGGTGTGGCTATTCCCAGCCACATCTGGTTTGTTTTGTTTTCAATCTCAAATTCGTTTTGCCCTGAATATGCAAAACATAGTAAATTGCAGTGCATCCCACTCAAAACCAGACCGAACTGACATTCCCACCCATCCCTGTGGCCGGTTTTCCTATTCCCTGAGCCGGAGTATTTGAAAAGGCGGCCGTGATGGAAAGGTGGCCCTCTGTACTGTCCGTTTGTTAACGGAAAGTCCTTTTGACGCTCCAATTTTCTTCCGAAATTCGGCACATCCTGTCCTTAGACGTGTTGCTTTCTGCTGAATGCAGCTGATACAAAATGCAAAGATCCATCCCGGAGGGGGAACCATGTGCCGGTAAACACACACATGCAAACACGCCCGCAGCGAACGACATGGCTAAGGCACGCAACGCGACTGCTTCCCCCAAACTGTCAGAGATTTAATTTCATCAGGAATAAAAGAGGCACAGGAGCAGCTGTTTTTCTCCCTCTGCCGCCTTCCAGATGTCCGGGGCTGTAAATTCGCAGGGCCAGTGCTGAATGACGTTGACAGTGCACCCCAAAATATCTCGAGGAAGCAGGCTGGGGGCCTGCGCTAGAGGGTGTCGAAGGGCGCCGTTCCACACCAGACTGCTGCCCCTCTGGGAATCGCCGGGCAGCTTCCCCTTGGACAGAGAGAAAGGCAGTCCTCAGTTCCACACTTACCTGCCTCGGTCCAAGCTCGGGGCTGCTCCTTCCACGGCCCATCCGGGCGAGATGCCGGCGGACGCGGGCTCCTTGGCGGCCCGAGCTGCTCCTTCTCTCCGGCCAGGGGTTCTGCCTGTCCTGGAAAAGGCTGCTCAGTAGGAGCAAAGGCAGAACACCCGCCTCTCCTGACAGCGCCTCCGTCCTCCGCTCCCTCTGCTGGAAACGATGCTTAGACGCCGGGCTTTGTGCGACGATTCGGGGGAAGGCCACGGAGCCAGGCAAGGTGAGACGGGTCCGTGCTCCTTCCTGGCAGGTGGCAAGGTGGCACCCGCGTCTCAGCACTGCAGGCCGGAAACGGGGCCGCGGACTCTGCCTCTCGAAGGCTGGGTCCGCCATCGCCACCTCGCCACCCTGCACAGAGCTTATCTCCCGGCCTTATTTGTGCAGGCTGGAAACGTCCCGCCGACCAGGTGCACACACAGAAATGGCTCTGGTGGCTTTTGCACGTGTGGCGAAAAGGGAGTTTTGGCAGGTTGCACCGTGTGATGTGCCAGCGCGGAAATTCCCCCGTTTCATTTCCAGAAAAGCCACCATATTTATTAACTTTAATAATATTATATAATGTTGATGATCATAATAAATCACAATATTATATAATTGTATATATTATATATAATATAAATAATATTAAATAATATATATTATATATGACAAAATATATCATTATTATATGATTATTTATATTTTATATTTGTATAGCATATAATTGTATAATGCAGTATTATATATGATTATTATATAATTATATGTTATATTTATATTATATATGTGTATATAATAAATGTTCCTGATTTTTTTTTTCTTCGTGGGAGCTCAGTATGACAACCCATCATTCTCCTTGTCCCGTATTTTGTCCTTAATTTTTTTTATTAAAATTTTAAACTAACACTAAACACATCAAACATCACATACATCAGATTCACTGGGTCAACCCCCTGCTCCAACCCCCTATTTTGTCCTCACAATGGTTTTGCTTTGTTTTGTTTTTGGAATGGGATGCAAAGGTTTTCAGGACGTTTGCCTCCCGTTCCGGTTCTCGGGGGGCGCTGCTTGCCGCGGCACAATCGGGGGGCAGCGGCTGTGCCCAGTCCTCTGCAGTCGGCGGCCCGTGACGGTTCCCACCCCTGAGAGACACGCTGCTGCCAGGTGTTTTCTGTGTTTATTGGATCACCCCCTTCCCCGCCCCTCCAGAAGAAAAGCAGGAAAGGTCCACAAGCCGGCCGGGGCCACGAGGTGCCGAGCAGGTGGCCAGCCGCCCAGCCGCGCTCGCTCAGCACATTCCGCCGTCTCGCGTCACCTCCTGGGCCACCTTCCGCAGCAGGATCTGGTCTTGCCCCTTGGCAGCGCAGCTGTGCTCCAGTATCTTTCTGCTGGGGGAGAAAAGGCCGGCAGATTTCAGCAGAAAGCCCGATGCCGCTGCCAGTGCCACCCGCTTCCTCTCGCGGCCCGTGCGGAGCAGGGCGGGCAGCGTCAGGCGCTCGGGCCAAATGCAGCCCCCTGGAGCTCCCCCGGAGGCGGCATCCACTTCACCCGGCCGAGTCGCTTCCCGCCCTGACTTCTTCCCGCCTTTTCACGGGCTTTCCCCACATTCAGAACGGTGGAAACGTCTCTCCCAAGGCTCAGCTAAGGGCTGGTCACGTTGGAAGCCGCAATAGGTTGCTTCTTCGGGGATCTGGACTTCCCCGCTTTGCCTTTGGCCTGGACGATCGGAGCGCCATCTTTATTCGGGTTCCAAATGGTCCTTTGCTGCCTTCGGGCGACCGGCTTCCTTCCGCCTGGGGCACGTGCCTCCCTGTGAGCCTCGCCCCGTGGGCCTCTGGGGAACCAGCCATGCCCTCCAGGGCACCCGTTTTATCCGTGCGCAAGCCTCTGCCCCATAGCATCCGTTCTGTGGCATCAAGCACCCATATGCGCCCACTGACCCCACGGCCCTGCTCCTCTGGCCCCATGGTTTTACCAGCCTCCCCCAGCCTGGCACCCTCCAGCCAGATGGGTGGATTACTTTTCGGGGAAGCTTTAAAGCCTGCACCTGCTTGCATTTGAGTCTTAGGCAAGTCATCCCAGCCTTTTAAAAACAAGGCCAGGTGCAAAATCCAGGAAACCAGCAAGTGGGGCCTTCCGGAAAGGCCCCCAAGGCTGCGATTTTGACGCAGGTACAGCCACTTGGCCCGGCGATCCTTAACCTCCAGCACGGCCAACTCAGGCATTTTGAGCCAAATAGCTCCCCTCCTGTGACTAAGACGCATTTGGGGGGGGGTATTTTTGTCAATTAACAAGCCCCACCCTTTGCGACAGCCCCTGGGGGAACTCAGGCCATCCAGAGACGACAGGGATGGACAAACTATCAATCTCCCAAATAAATAAATAAACAAGCAAACAAAATAAAAACTCACCCGCTCTCGACTTCCTCAATGGTATCCGGAAGCGGCTCGTGGAGCGTCTCTGGCAGGAAGATGGCGGCGATGCCAGACAGGATTGGGGCCGTCCCGTATATGAGCGGTGGGAGGTAGGGGAAATATTCTCCCGTCATTCTTATCATGGGTGCCACTATGCCCCCCACGCGAGCGAGGGTGCTCCCCATCCCCATCCCGGTCTGTCTGCAAGTGTAGAAAACACCCTTTAAAGGAGAAATCATAGAACAGTGAACAATGCCGGCCTGATTGCTCTCTTCAGAGACGCAGGGATGTAAAAACGGAGGCGGGGGGGTGGGGGGTGCTAGGTCACCCCTCTCCACAGGAGTGGCACGGGGTGGGCAGAAGCCAGGGATGAATGTCTGTGGAACGTGAGTCGTGCCACTGGCGAATGGCGGTGCCCAAAGGTGGGTGTTTTCAGACTCAGTATCTGGGATGAGTGATTGAAATGACCCCCGATAAAACTGGGCTGAGGAGCATCTTTCCACACCCCGAGGGCCAATTTTCTTTAAGGGGCGCTGCCGGCCAGCCTATTTTCCAGCCCTTTTGGCCAAGAACGGAGGCTCTGGAGGTCCATTTCAGTCTTTTAGAATGGGGGAAAGTGCCCCAAGGCTGAGCAATGGACAGGAAAAGGGAATGGGGCCCTACAGAATAGGGTGTGGATGGCTTCCCCTGATGTCGGCTTACCTGCCACTTCTCTGTTCGAGACCCCTCGGCCCTGGGGCATCTCACACAGCAACTTTGCAGTTGGCAAAGCGGGAATATTCTCTCAGCAAAGCTTCTTAGATGGACCCTGCAAGCTGCCTAATCCTACATCAGGTTCTTCGTCTCACCAGCTTTATCTATTTGTTTAAAGTTTTCCCATATCTTCCTATTTACAATACTCTCAGGACATCTTATAATCATAAGGTGAAATCCAGCATTGTATCATTCTATAAAACCCCAGTTAAAATATCAAATGACCTTAAATTTGGGGGGCGGGGGGGAATAAGAAGGTTTTAGCCTGGTGCTGAAAAGAAAAAAGTGTTGGCACTAGGCGAACCTCTCTGGGGAGCATATTCCATATCTGGGGTGCCACCGCAGAGAAGGCCCTTCTCCGGGTAGCCATTCTTCCGATCTCCTTCAGGGCTCCCAAAGAGGGACCTCTGCTCCAGCGCTTGGGTGTTGGCCAGGCACACAGGGAAGGAGACGCTCCGTCAGGTATCTCCCAGGTGGAAAGAGCCGCTTCTCCGTTTTGCTGCGGGGCCATGGACAAACACAAGCACCCCCTCAGCATGGAGGCTGCCCCCCAAAACATGCAGAAGGGTTGGGCCGGGAGCAGCTATCCTGAAATGAACGTTGGTTTTTATGCTTTTGAAAAGAGATCCAGTGCCCAGCGTTCGAGGCCGCGGTTTGCCTCAGGCCCGGCCGGAGACGTACCTGATCACCGTCGGATACAACTCGCCCGTGTAGAGGTAGAGGCAATTGAAGGAGGAGGCCAAGCAGCCTTTTCCGAGTACCGCCAGAGAGGTTCTGAGTGCTCGGAGATCTTGGGAGAGAGGAGCAGCGGGAGAGAGGAAGGAAGGAAGGAAGGAAGGAAGGAAGGAAGGAAGGAAGGAAGGAAGGAAGGAAGGAGGGAAGGAAGGAAGGAGAAAGACATTGTGAGTTTCCCAATCCATTTCTAGAAATAGTGACCTGGCTCTATTTTGCAGCCCAGCCCTTCCAACAGAAGCTTTCAAGCCCGAGGTCCCGGAGCGACGTCCAGAGCACCTGGGGGCTCAATCCACCCCACCCCAAAAGGGGCACGGCTCGTTCCCCTGTCCTCGTTTGCTGATCCCCTGCCGGAGGAACCCTCAGAGTAGGAGAAACCTAGGAGATGGACGGCATTGCACCGCCGGAAGACCAGGAGAAACGACGCGAAGCAGCTGAGCCCTGAGCCGGTTCTAGCAGGATAACATCCTCCAGGGTCCGCCTCTTCGGGGCTGGAAGCAGCTCGGAGTCCCAGCTACTTGCCCTGGGACTCTACTTTTCGGGTTGCCCCATAGCACGGCACATGCTCCAGCCAAAGAGCAGCAGGACAGCAGAGCTTTTGGTGCTTCTAGCATTAGTCCAGCTCCACCCCGGGGTAAAGAGCTTCGAGGGACAATATGCTTGTGGGGCTGGACCTGAAATCGTTGCCGTCGGCTCCAGAATGTGGCCCCCGAGGACTTCGCAGAGATGGAGCTTGGCCCTCGGGGTGGAAGAGGTCCCAGCCTCAGGCGCTAGGTGCGGAGCCTGAAGTTCGGGGGCCAGTCCCGATCAGGCCCTGCTCCGGCTCACCTGCAGGCACAAAAATATTGGCCAAGATGGCCAGTCCAGCCACGATGACGGACGACGCTTGCGTGGTCCTTCGCCCAACGTAGCTCATGCCGATGGCGGCCCCCAGCTTGGCCGGGATGTCAATCACACCGAAGGCCACCTGGATCAGGTAGATGCTGAAGCCAAAGTTCTGGAGGTCCATGGCGAGACCATAGTAGGCAAAACTGGTGGCAAACCTGGAATCGGGTACGAGGAGGAGCAGGGGACAGGGAGAAAGGAAGGCGATGCAAACGGTCTGTGAATGTACCTTGATGTAACCAGTGACAGTATCAGAGAAGAGATACAGTGAGTGACTACTGCAGGCTTTTGTCTGGCTTAATGATATAGCAGGATGCTAGTCCTCATGGAAGTAGAGAAGCAGAGCAGAATTGCACGGGAGTTGTTCCTTCCTGATTTGACCAAACTGAGGATTCTAGTCCTCATGATACTTGAGAAGAATCTCATGGTGTCTGTTCTTTGATGATTGAACACAACACAGCTAAATTCTGGCCTTCATAAAGGCTGCAGGGAATCTTGCCTCCCTCAGGCTGAGGACAACTCTCCAGCTTTTTATTTATTTATTAAAACATCTATGCTTTGACCTGAAGATCTCACAGGACCTGGAAAAAGCTGCTATTCATAAGATACATTATGCTGAGCTGAGTCCAGCGTGCTGATATTTTTTCCAGAGAGGCCTGCAGCCCTTTGACACAATCCTCTCCTTTAGGAATTTTTTTGTCTGCTAACCGAAAAACTCCACACACTGGACCTACGAAAGATCAGCTGTCATCTGAGCTGCAATCGATTCCCCCGTTCCATTTGCACAGGAATGAATCAACAAATATTCAGGAACAAAATATTTTGCTTTCAGAGCTCGCATTTCTCGACAGATGTGAGAGCGAAAGAAGCTCTTCTTCTCATGCCATTCATGGGATTCATCAGTACTTACCTCAAAATCACACAAGCATAAAAATTAAAATCTGCTCTGATTAATCAATGTTTTTCTTCCATCAGTTGATCCAAATCTCCTAACTGAGGCAGCCCTAAAATCACGCAATTCGGAACAAAGCCATTTCCACTTTAACTTTCTAAATGCAATCAAAACCTCAAGTTTCTAATCCTTATGCCCAGCCAGAGTATTGGAAAGTCAGGATGAATGAAAAGAGATGATCTAAGCGTACCAAACGCTGGAAATGCAGCAGGAGATCCGGCGCACGGTGGGGGTACGGACCAAACTGACGAGAGTGTAAGACGACTGAACCAGGGTCAGTTCCTTCTGCATGTTTGATTTCAAGACCTGCGGGAGATTAAGGAGAAAAGCAAATACTGGGAGGCACTGGATCGGGAAAGGTGGCACACAGTGAGATGCAGAAAAATCCAAGCAGTGCTTAAATATATCTGCAAAAATGCATTGGAAAACATGTCTGGAGAGGCGTTTCAACTCCATTATGCATATTGCACGTCCCGACTTCTTGAAATTATAAATTTCTTGGGACCCTCCAAATCAAGTCAGAACCACCCCCGATTCAAAGCTTCCATTTGAGAAGGCGTTTGTATGGCCTACTCACCATGAAAAAGAGGATAATTGCTTAAATTAATGGCTTTGCAGAAGCTTATTGGGTGGCAAGGTGTCCTCTGGATCTCTCAGATGCGGAAGCATAGAAACTCTTCCCGTGATGAGACCTGGGGCACCCTGCTCTTCCTTTGTCCCCCCCCCCCTTTTTCCCACTGGCAGCTTCTGGCTTTCCTGGAGATCCCTCTAAAATTCCCAGCTTGCAAAGCTGTCCTTGGCTTTCTGCTTGGCTCACGGACCATGTCCGTGTCCGAGGTGGGATATGCCTGAGCTGCTCCTCTGCCCTTCTCGGGATCACATGCACCCAAATTTCATTGATCCACAATCCCCCGATTGCTGCCCTTCACACAGGTGGCTTCATTTCTTCCGGATTATCCCTGAATCTGAAGTGGGTGCCTTGGCCGGACCAGATTCCCGGGGAACCACATTCACTTGCGCTCCAAAATAATTAGATGGGTCAAAACTTTGCTCCCAAATTAACCCAGAGATACAGGGAGCGTCCTGTCTCCGGCCTGTGAGTTCGGCTCTCCCCTCCAGCCCGTTTCGCCCCTGTACCTCCGTGCTGAGCTTCTCTCCTTCTTCTTTCTTTCCGTTGATCTGTGCTACCTTCTTTAAGACTTCGACAGCTTGCTCTATTTTGCCGGAAAGAACCAGCCACCGGGCCGATTCGGCAAACCACCTGTTCAAAAGAGCCCTGCCTCAGAGTGCTGTTTTCTGGTCGTGCCAGGGTGCCTGGGCAGCATATAAAAACTTTAAATGCACAAATAAATATAACCGGAGCGGAAGAGTTGAGGGGGCAGTTCCAGCCGGAGCCACCAAAGAGGGATCTTTCCCATGAAGGCGCTTGGCCAAGGCCGAGTCCTGGGGGGCCGCCTCGGGCACGGAGGGACGCTGGCCACTCACCAGGAGTACATGAAGAAGACAAAGAAGGGTATGGAGGCGGCGAACTGCAGCCAGCGCCAGTCCGGGAGGGCATAGGCCAGCCCGGGAAGGAGGATCTGCCCGAACGTCGCACAGTACCCCACCACGGTCCCGGCCACAGTGCGGACCTTGGTGGGCACCCACTCCAGCACTGAGGGAGAGAAGGGAACGCGTCAAGCAGCTGCGGGGTTAGCATCGCTCGCTCCTGAACGATGCACAAATCGCTCGCTCCTGAATGATGCGCAAGGAGGGGGCCGGAGGCTGAGAGGGTCTCCTGCAAAAGCTGCGGAAAAGCAGGGAAACCAGCAAAAGCTGGTAACTGGGGAGAGGCGGAGGAGCAGAGCTGGGGAACACTGGTGGGCCAGCGTGTGGCCTCCAGAGAGCCCCCCCCGACTCAAGGATCCACGCCCCTGACATATCGGTGCGTGTGTTAAGGTAGTCAGGTTGCCAACTTTCTGCCTGCCCTTTGCCAACTTTCTGCCTGCCCTTTGCTCCTCTGCCTTTAACTTGCTCCGCAGGCCCCAGGGAGGGGAGAAGGCTTCATTTTTCCCCTCCCACCCGAAAAGTCTTCTGTTCATTTCTGCAAACTCTTCAAGGGCACGAAAGCAGCTTGGATGTTCCTCTGCCACGCAAGCTCGGTCAGCGGGCAACTTGAGCACAGCCCCGACAAGATGCGGTTTTTGCTTGCCGGAGCCGCTCGCTGAGGGCCAAGCGGGCCGGGTGTGTCTTGCACACCCCTCTGCCGAGCCCGACTCCGCGGTGTGCACAGCACGTGATTTCCTCCCACACAGCATGTGCAAAAGCAAATAAAAAGATCCGGCATGCCAAGCTGCAGGGATAAATATTTGCGCAGCTAAACGGCGCGCGGAGGGCCGAACATCGCCAGTGGGTCAGGAATGTGCCAAGTGGCAAACATGAAAAACACTCCACCTTGAAGAGGCTTCGCCTTCCCTGTCTTCCTGGCAGGCAGAAATCCAGAGGGTGCAGTTTCAGCTGGGTCTCCATTTCCCCACCAGAGGAAACCACATCTCTGCGGCTAAAATATCACTTTCCTCATAGGCTGCTTCAACAGTTCTGCACAGGGCCCACGCTGCCAGTAAGGCATGGTTATTCCAGTGTGTGTGTGTGTGTGTGTGTGTGTGTGTCAAACTACAATTTAGGAGAAACTTGGGGGGCTCTCTGCTGTGCTGGGTGAGGCTAAAGGCAACAAATGGGGCGAAAATACCAAAATGGCCCCACATTTTAGCTCAGAGCTCTTATTCTGTGGCTTACGAAAGCTGGACAATTGTTCGAAAGTGTTTGAAGCTCGCAGAGGCTGGATCGGGGACTGGGGAAAAGGGGATGGCCTCATCAGAGCTCTATCGGAGGCGAGTCCCAAATACGAGTCCCAAATACGAGTCCTCCAGAAAGGCCTTCCCGAGGGGACGGGAGGGACCCAAGCATGTATTCCTGGAGGTGAACTCTAGATCGGGTTCGAAAAACCACTCTGTGCTTGCTCAGAGGGCCGTTCTAGAGGACTTGTATTTGGGAGCAATGAAGGAAGCCTTGCAAGGTCACAGGCTGGTGACTCGTGAGCGCTTGAAGGAGGAACGACGGCTTGTGGGGAGCTCAGGTCTGCAGGATTCTGTGTGCCCTGAAGCTGGACCGGTCCAGGTTTGGGTCGCAGTTCACAGGTGAGGACGAGAAGAAGGAAAGGTAGGGGATTAGCAGGAAAAGGTTAGCGGAAAAGGAAGGAAGGAAGGAAGGAAGGAAGGAAGGAAGGAAGGAAGGAAGGAAGGAAAAGGGAAGGTAGAAGGGGAGAGGAGATGGAGAGAGGGAGAGGTCAAGGATGGAGAAGGAAAAGACGTGAAGAGGAAGAGACAGCCGAAACCGGCTCTTGGCAATCCGGCCCCAGTCCGGCTCTTTGCGCTGGCGGCTGCTCAGCCGCGGCCTCTCAGCACCCCGACACAGGTGTGCCGCCTCAAGGTGAGTCAGGGATGCTCCCCAAGCTGTGCTGGGCCCGGGGCTCGCCGGCCCCTTCGCCTCATCCCCCCTCACGCCGCGCTGCGGTGCCGCTTACCTAGGGACATGCAGTTCAGGATAATTCCCGACAGCGCCATCCCGACCAGGAAGCGGAACACGCAGTAGGCCGCGAGGCTCGGGGCGAAAGCGGTGCACAGCCCCGCGATGGCCATCTGGAGGTACGACCAGCTGAGGACGGCTTTGCGCCCGAACCTGTGACACAGGACCGAGCACAGGGATCCTTATGGACTAGTGGGCGGCATATACATTTTAAAAACAGAAAAAGAACAGGATGGCTGTTGCGATGTAGGTAGGCCATCGTCGCCTCGTTTGGCCGTTCGATTTACCAATAATCTGGATGATGAATGGGGAAAGCAGAGGAGATGTTGAGGAAAAGCCCACCCCTGCAAAGAGGGCATCGTTTGCATAAATTTTCATGGACTAATGTAAAGCTTGGCTTAAAATCTTCCATGCCGATAGCTGGCACTATTTGACCTTTGAGAATGGCCGAAGCGGTGCAAAAGCCAGGGAAGCCCTCAGTGAGGAATGGCTGGTGCCACATGGGGGATTCTGGGAAGATGGCTGGATCTGGCTTGCAAATCCAGGATTCAAAACCCTGGTTTAGATACTGATTGAGTTCAGACAGCACTCAGCAATCAAGTTCACTTCACCCATTGGAGGGTTGAGTGTGGCTTCCCTCTGAACCACGGTTCTTGCTGAAACATGGCTTATCATGCTAGATAACATCCCACAAACAACCCACAAACAAAACGTGGGCTATTTTCGTGGTTTGTTAACCACAAACAAACCAGATTGGGTTGTAAACTGTGGGTTGTTTGTGGTTTGTTCTCTCATCCAGGTTTTGAGAAAGGATTTGGGAAAAAAGAGCAAGGAAGGAAAAGTCATGGAAGTGTTTGAGGCAGGCGAGCCAGGCTTTTGGGGGCACAGCTGAGACAGAGGCAACAGTGTTGGGGAACGAAATAGAGGGCGCTGTTCCATAGACCACCTGGGTCCCCCCAGCCCTATATCCCCTGGAAAACAGCAGCCCAGTGTCTCTGGATGATCTCCAGTCCTTCTGTTCGAGACCCAGTGCTTACAGTGCAGGACTGGGGCTTGGGAGACTCCCTGGGTGACTGTGGGCCCTTCCCTGCCTCTTAGCCTAACCTACCTCGCAGGGTTGTTGTTCTGAGGTTAAAAATGGAGAGGAGGGGAATTAGGCAAGTCATCGTAGGTTGTTTGTAGGAAAAAAGGTGGGATATTAATATCCGAGATAGATGTGCTACGGATTCTCTTCATCCAAGGCAGGTACTTACCCCTTGTGGTGCTGCCCGTCTCCGATGTGTTTGTCTCCATGGCAACCCCCAAGGGAGGCCTCCACTGCCCCCTTTTGGCAGACAGGGAACTGGGAGGGGGAGACGGCCAAGCCTACGCAGGGGTGTTGGTGGCAGCCGTGGGGTGCAGACCCAGCTTCCCGCTGGAGCACTGCCCCAAGCGTTGCGGACATACCAAATGCTGGCAGAGACCAACCTTCCCCAAGGTGCTCTCCAGATACGCTGAACCAATGGGCAGTGCTGGTGGGGAGCATGGGCACTGCAGTCCAGTGCATCTGGAGGACAAGCGGCTGAGGAGGGTTGGCAGAGATCGAAGCAAAGCTGCTCCACGCACCCACCTGTCCGCTAAGGTCCCGAACACAAGAGCACCCACCAGAACTCCCCCCATGTAGATCGACTGGGCAATCTGCCTCCGGGTCCGTAGGTCGCAGACCAGGTCCCACTGCATGGACAGAGGGGAAGAGGATGGAGGAGGAGGGGGGAGAAACAGACGGCAGAACTTCAGAAACTACAATCCTCCGGCAGCCGCTGCAGGGTGTAGTTACAACATGCTGCCACCAGGGGGCAATGTGGCTTGATTGGTAGCCCCCCGCAGGAGAACCTAAGGAAGGCGTCTTGCAAGAGGGGAGAGAAACTCACGCCCCCATCCCTCCCGAGTCCTGCAGCAGCTCTGTGCGTGTGACTTCGGCCTTGCGGCTTGCGCCGTCACCTGCTGGGGTTGGCGGAGGACTGAGCCCATGTGCCCCGGGAGAGCTCTCCACGCATCCCAGCATCCCCGTGGCCTGCTGCCCCATTCCGAAGAGTTGCAGCTCTCCGTTGCCCCTTCCCAAGCGGAGATTTCTGCCCGCTGTTTGTCAACCTCGCCACCTCCCCTTGGGCCAAAAGACAAAACAGTACAAAAAATTCCGAAAGGGAGCCGAGACACGGCTTCATTTGCAGTTTCTGCCACATCAGACCTTTGTCCCAAAGAGGGTTAAAATAACATCAGAAATAGGAAAATCGCATAAAGCCGAAACTACACTGTGACATAAGGTATGATATGATATGGCATATAAGATTTTTAAAAATTCACTGGCCACTGGAAAGCACAGTTACTCGCTTTTGTTGATCACTTTTCTCTGGCCTGACTTTTATTATTTTCAGGACTATATAATATTTTATAGACAGCAGGATAGGAGCAGACACAGAGGAAGAATTTAACTTTTTCCTACCCTGCTGTAGCTAGGAAGGAAAATCTAATTTCCTAAAGCTTATTTCTTATATTCAGTTGGGAATTTTCATCCCAAAATCAATAGCATTTTCAGGCCATAGATTTTCCTTTGGGGTGCAGTAGGAAAGGAAAGAGTTACACACACACACACACACACACACCCTACCTGTTGTAACCCTGATTCTTTCTAGCACCCCTCCTGCAACTGGGATCAATTTGCATTTAGAAACAAAAAGTATCCACCGAATACAAAGACATGATCTAGCATCCCTTGCACTTTGGCAATTAAAATTTAATTCAGATTAAAACCTCAACCCCAATTAAAAGCTGGGGGTGGGAAATTTCTAGTGGATCCAAGAGGAGGCACTGAGAACACTTCTCAGCTTCCCGTTTGTGTTTCCAAACCGGGCACACAAGCCCCGCTGTGTGCTTGGTTTCTTTTCAGAGCGGCCTGGCTGCTTTTCCCACCACTGCGGCCAACTGGGCAGAGGCCCCCCTTCCGAAAGAAGACGAAAAGGCCGACCGACACCCAAATGGCCCACATATTGCTGGAACTTTGCAGAGCCACAACGGAGCTGTTTGGGAGCTGCTTGCACCCTGCTCATCCTTCACACTTCTTCAAGAAAACTGCCTTTCTTGCTATATTTAAGAATAAATTAAAAACACCCCGAGGGATCCGTCCGGCGCCTCTCTTCACTGTCATGACATTGACCCTGGAACTTCCTAGCCGGGCAGAGAAACTGGGATGCCCGAGAAGCGCTTTCAAACTGGCGAGGCTGCCCGGGCCCCTCTCGGGGTTGCAACCCTCCGCTCAGCCCCCGGGCCGAAGCTTCACCGTGCCGCGACCCCACACCGTGCTAACCTTTGCGCGTGCTCCCTCGGCTCACCTCCATGACGATGGTGTTGCTGAAAACACTCCGGTCGTACACCCAGCCGTCCCTGCAGGGCTCCGTGTCCGTCCAGGTCTCGTTCTCGCCCGCGGCGCTGGCGTTGAGGAGATGCCAGCGTGGCGTGACGAACCGGCGGCACCGCTCGGGCTTCCCGGAAGCGTCCTTGGGAATAGAGATCCACAGGATCTCCTCCTCGGAGCCCGGCCTTTGAGTCCTGTTGGTGGGTCTGGCGGTGGCGTTGCTGGAGGGCCGGATCCGGCAGTGGTGCTCGGGGATCGCGGCCGAGAAGTTCTGCAGCAGGTTGTGGCTGGCCGTCAGCAGCACGGGGGTCACCAGCAGCGCCACGTGGAGGACCTGGAAGCGGCCCATGCCCCCAATCCGGTCGAGCAGCTCGGCGAACGTCATGGCGAGCGGGGGATGCTCGGGTGGGAACGGCGAGGAGGGCTGCGGAGCTCCCGATCGCAGAGGCGAGCGCTCGCAGCCCGGATCTCCAAAGCTCATGCCAGGTGGCTCCAATGCCTCCCACCCTCCCTGGAAACATTTCCTCCAGCTAATTCGGGGTCAGGATCTTGGACGGTGAGGCGGCCACAGTTCCCCCCGCCCCGCAATCTTGGCCTCAGCTGAAAGCATTGCTCACGGGCCTCGCAGAGAAAATAGAAAGCACATGGGCCGTAACCTGTTGTGCGAACTGGAGTCACCTTGCACGGAACTGTTTCCCCGAACTGTGTTTATAGATCCCTGCGTGTATGTTGTAGCCTTGGGGGGGGGGGCGGGGGGGGGGGGGGCTGCAGGAAGGGGGTGGGTGTCCCAGCATGGAGGGGGATTATGCAAGCCCTAATCACTTTACTTGGGTCAAAGTTCTAATGAGGCATTCCAAGGATTAGCTCGAAAGGAAAGGACAGCCGGGAAAATGCAGACATTCAGTTAATGTGGGGCAGCGAGCTCTGAGGAACCAGTGTGAGGCTGGAGCGGCTGTGGGGAGAAAGGAAAGGGGGGACTTGGCCGGCTTTTCTCAGCTGCGGGAAAGATGGCTTTTTGTTCCTCGCTTTGTGTTCAAGAGGAAAGAAAACCGGACCACCAGAAAACTGCGTGCCCCGAAACAATAAAAGCAGGCAACGCAACTTGGGAAAGGACGGCTGTTTTCACCATGCAGTTACAGTAGGCAAGCTTTGGAGCTACACAGAATAATTTCACTGCACTGGCCTGGAGAAGCGTGTTGAGGATTCTGAAAGCTTGCTGGGGGCGGCACCAGGGAGAGGCAGTGTCCTGGGGAGGGGGTGGATTTTGAGGCCTGCTACATTTAATTCTCAATATTTATTTCCCGGTGTTGCCAACGTAACTGGGTCAACCAAATTTGCCACCGAGTGCACAGCAAGACTTGAAGGGAAGATGTGCTTCATACACAGGCCTTCCAGATTTTCACCAGAAGGGCGGAAGCGATCAAAGGGGGCTCTCTCCACGCTTTTCTTGCCCCTGCTCAAGTACATCCGTGTATGATTCCCTTCTCTTTGGAACTCCCCTTTGACACCCCGTTTCAGGTCCCTGCCAGGAGCTGGTGGGGCTGGGAAGCCAGTGGGTCCAAAGCTTGGGGCAATCCACTGATCCTGTGGCAGGGAGGAGACAAACTCACCCCATAAGCCCCCCATGGGAGGTCCTGCCCACACGCCCTCCGAAGCCGGCAATGCCCCTGCCTTGTGGCTTTGGATGGGTCGAAGCCTCCCAGAATCCCTTCCCAGGATTGTGGCATAAACGTTCCTCTTCTTCACATGCACGGCCCATGGGGCCCCCCCAAGCTTTGGGGTTCTCTGTGTGCACAGTTAAGTATGGGGAAAACAGCTCTGCACACCTTCTTGGGCATCTACCGGTTGCATCCGTGAATCTAGTGAGCAAAGCTTGTTTCGCATCTCTTGGCCCTCGCGACACCCCTTCAACCAGGAGTTGTCTGATTCGACTGATTTCTGGGGGTGCAGCATTGCAAATCCTTCTTCTAAACTTATGTTTTGGTCCCATGGGGACGAGAACAGGCGCTCCCAGGGAGGCCAAAGTTCGTAGGAATGCAAAACACTCCCTTAAAACCCCAAAAGACAGCGCCTCCCACCTCCCCAGAATATTTTGGTGCCTGCTCTGGTGTGTCTATTGGAAAAGAAACGAAAACTGGCCAGTCCGAGCATCTCACCGGTGCTGTTTACTCGGGCGACCCTTCTCAAAATGCTTACAGCTGCTATGATCTGCACTGCATGGCTGGAAACTATAACAGGAGAAGTTCTGTTTGGGGCAGAAAGCGCTGCAATATTTTGTTTCAGGTCTTGGGAGGGATGGGAATGCTTGCGAACAGCGGTTTTTCTTCGAGTCTGGAGTGTGAAACCTACACCGCAGGCTTCTGGAGGGCATCCAAGGTGCAAGGTCAGGCCAAGGGACCACCAAGCCCAGCATTCTGTGCACATGGAGGGACCACCCAGCTGCCCAGAGGAAATGCACTGTTACCTCCTCCCTCTCAGCCACCTCTCGCCTCCCCCCTTCCCTCTTCTTCCCCACCCAGCAGGCTGCTGGGGAACAGGTAGAGTTGCATTGAGCCTCCAGTTTGTCCGCTGCTTGTCGCAGGTTTTGTGCTCGGCCCTGGCTTAGGAAGTGAGCCAAGCTGGAGGAAGCCCCCGAATACTAACAGGACATTGCTTGTGCAACCAGCAACCATCTTCCACAGCACATGCAGCTGCAAGTCCCACGCTCAGGAAAGCGATCCTGAAAGACTCACGGCTGCGAGGAAGCGGGGCAGAGTCTGGGGAGCCAAGCGGAGTGGATCCGACAGATTCCCACCCCCAAGGAGGATCCCTCGCACACCCCTAGATGAGGGGGGCACTGTTGGCTTTTGCTGGTTTTTGCCAGAAAGCTGAAATGCCCCCCTCCCGCTGGCACTAAGAGCTCCCCCCCGCAACCATCAGCCCATGTGGAGATTCCTGGCTTTAGGACATTTCCCTTCCTTATTCTGGAAATTCAAAGTGCCTCTGCTAAGGGGGAGTGACTGGCAAGGTACAGATCACTGGTCCCTTGGCCCCGCCCCTCTTTTGGCCCCGCCCCACCGGTCTTTTGGCCCCGCCCACCATTGGGATGCAGCCCAAGAGCTTCTCCAACGCGGAATGCGGCCCTCGGACTGAAGGAGCTTCTGCATCCTTGCGCTAGACGAAGGCACCAAGGTTTTTATTGTGGACTCCAGGAATGTGGGACATCACAGACCGCAGTGGCCCCCCAACTTATGGGGAGCTTTTCCCTCCCCGGCTCTCATTGGCTGCTCCTCTCGCTTCCGTGTTTTCCAGCGGCAAGGAATCCGTGACTGCTTCCTTAATTTCTGCCGTATGCAGGAGGACGGCTTCCTGATGGGAGACGTCATATCTGCAGCTTGCGTCTCTCTTCTGCTGCTCCAAGTTTCTGGAGGGGGACAATGCGGGTGAGACTTAAGGTTGGCCGGTTACACGTTGTGAAAAAGAAAAGAAAACGCACACACGCCTGCAGACAGACAAACAAACAAACAAACAAACAAACCACAGAGGTCAAAGGAAGCCATAAATGTGCCTAAATTTATGCAATTTTGCACCTGGCTACCTGAAAATGTAGAAATAATCATTGCAAGTCAATTGGCGGTAAATTACAATTAAATAAACAATAAGCTAAAATTTTCACTGAAATTTCAATTGGAAAACAATATAAGGTGCAGAAGTTTGGACAACAGTTGCTGTCCAGGTGCTGAAGTTGTGGATGGGAACATACAGGGCCTTGTTCTCCCTTTCCAAACCAGCAACAAGCCCTGGATTCAAGCTGGCTTATGATCTTGGCTTGTTTCAGAGCAATAAACCAACATCCTTGGTAGGGTTTGATGCACCTGTCATTTTAATTCCTCTCACTTTCTCATTTCTTCCAGTTTAGAGACATAATTCCATGCATGTTTAGATCGGGAAAAAAGTCCTACAAAGCCCAGCATTCCCCACCCAGCATGGATGGGATTCGTAGTCCCCTTTTCTGTCCAAATATGCATAGGAGTGTGCTCTGACATTTTCTTTCTCTTAAATGTTCAGATTTTTTAAATGTAGTTTTTATGAAAATTTGTAAGGTTTCTGGACACATTTCTCCTAATAAGTTCATCTCATGGGTATTAGAGAACAACTTTTTGCAGGAATTTTGTATTTTTGGATATTATTTCCCCTAAAAGATATAATTCTTGATTGCAGAATCACTTTGCAACATCTGGAAAAGGGTGAAGTTTGAAGGGTTACTGAATTTCAATTTCTCTAGTGGCTCAGGAAAGCAAATTTAGTTAAATTCACACTGCCAACTGAACAATTTTCTCCCCTGCCACTAATCCTGGATAATATGATGCTGTTTAACCCCCCGGGCAAGCAAGAGTAGAAAAGCAAAGGGATTTCAGCACCGGCATTCTTGGTTTAACAAGCCAAGATTCCTAGCTTAACGTTATGTGTGAACTCAGCCAACATGTGAAGACACTGATGAGCCAAAAGCATCACTCGTGTTTCTTGCTCAGGAATATGGAGCCATTTCCGAAATCCCTCCGGAAAGAATCGATGTGAGGAAGTTTCCATCGCGTTAAAGGCTTAGCACACCTTTAGGCTCCTGAACATTGACCGAGCCCTGGTTAATAATTTCTCCCTTGAAAATGTATAGAGATAACTCCAGACTAAATGTAGACTTTACCTTCATTCCAGAGAGCTAGCGCTGTTTGCAACAGAAGAGTTCACCCTGTCACCTGACACTGCTCGTTTTACAACTCAACCTCCCCAAATTCTCCCCCAGCACACTTTAAATACTGTTGTGGCTCCTGGAGTGTGACTTGGAGGTGGAGGAAAAATTCGATGGACAGCTGGAAAATATTGAGGGAGAGGTAGATCGAGAACTCCAACATCTCCCCTTTCAAGTCTTTCTGATGGAATATTTGAGGGAAAACCCTGGGGCCTGAGTGGAATTGAATTTAAGGAAGTCGGTTGTTAATTTCTCCCCCAACACACCCAGTTTCTGATGGCGCCCCAAGGCCATGATCCAATTCGTGCCCGCATAGGAAAAATGTCAGAAAATCCCCAGCATTCCCCATCCGCCATGCTGGGAGTGTGAGGCTTTTTCTCCAAACGTGGCGCAGATATGTTGGTAAAATTACAAAGAAAAGGCAGGGATCCCTTCTGGGCTGCAGGAATGCCAGCCAGGGTCAAATCCAGCCCTACAGAGGTTCCCGCTTGGCCTTCTGGGTTTCTTTAGATGGCCACGCCCCAACACTGGCCCCACCCCTTTCCCCCAACACAGGCCCCACCCCTTTCCTCCAGCACAGGCTCCACTCTTGGGCAGCTTTCCAGAGGGCAAGATCTTCATGACGGGCTGCAGGAGCGTTAAGCTAAAACGTGCCGGGCTTTTGGGCCGCGTGGCCCCCGGCTCGGCCCCAGCAGGGATTTCGGCCCTCGCACGGCCGCCTTCCCTGCCCCTAGCCGCCCTCCCGCCCCGCCACTTACTGCCTCTCGACGTCGTCCACGCTATCCGGCAAGGGCACGTTCAGCGTCTCCGGGAGGAAGCAGGCCGCGATGCCGGAGACGATGGGGGCCGCCCCGTAGATGAGGAGGGGCAGGGACGGGGAGTACTCGCCCGTCATCCTCACGAGGGGGGCCACGATCCCGCCAACACGGGCCAGGGTGTTGCCGAACCCCATCCCGGTCTGCCTGCCATGCGAGGGGCAAAATGGCCGTACGAAGGCAAGTGAGCAGTCGAAGCAGCAATGACCGCAAGAATGTGAACACCCAGCCTTGCGTTTTGCTATTACTCTCTTGCAAGTGTAGGGTATCTCCACCCCGCCACCTCTAGACGGCCACGCCCCCTTCCCCTGGTGCCGCCCCCTTTCCCTCAACCACCAATCAGCTGGGGACTTCCAGGCTCTTGTGCAAATTCCCTGCATGCAACAGGCTGAATCTGGCCGCGGTGCTTTGCCCCCAGACCTTTGCCACAATCCACAGTGGAGATGTCAAAAGGGGAACCTGGACGTGCTACGGTGGTTTGCAGTGGAAAGGCGATTTTTCGTTTCTGCTGCCCCAGAATGCTTTGGTGGCAGGAGGAGGCCTGAATCGGTGGGACAGGGGTCTCGAGGGTGCCTGACTGACGCCTCGCTCACCTCCTTCTCACCCCCACCACAACGCGATCCCCCGCAGCCCCTGGGCTGTGTGTGAACCTTCTGTGCAAAGAGAGGCAAAGAGACTCGCAGAATTTATGCTCTGGGCAGAGCGGAGAAATGCCCCCGGATGCCACGGTGTGGGGCTGCAGGGCGACTGGTGGGGTGTCAGGAGGGCAGGCCCATTCGGACCCCAATTTTGATGCCCCTCGGTGTGAGCCGGGCAGCAAGCCAGACCCTGGACGGGGCTAAACTTTTCTCTGCTCCCGATCAAGGCATACAAAGCGGCCCCTGGAGAAGGCCACCCAGAAGCGGAAGACTGAGAGGTACCTGATCACCGTGGGGTAGAGCTCTCCAGTGTACAGGAAAACACAGTTGAAGGAAGCTCCCAGGCACCCTTTCCCGAAAACAGCAAAGATGGTGCGGAGGGTCTTCAGATCTAGGGAGATCGATCGACGGGCAAGGTTGGCATCCGCCCCCAACGTCTTTGCCAAGCTGCAAGAGCCCTGTGTGGCACAGCGGCTTGAGTGTTGGGCTGAGGGCCCAGAAGATCCGGGTTCTAGCCCCCCCCCCCAGCTCACCGGGTGACTCTGGATCAGCCACAGACTCTCAGCCCGACCTACCTCACAGGGTTGTTGTCGCAAAGATGAAAATGGAGAGGGGAACCATGTGAGCAGCCTTCACTTCCTCGCAAGAGAGAAAGCTGGGATATAAGGTGATGACGGTGCTGATTCCACGGGCGTGGGAAGCTGGAGGGAATCTTTCCCGGGGGCCTCCAAAGCTCAGAGCTGGCCCTTTAAGGCCTGGGCGTCTTACCTTGGGGCACAAAGATGTTGCTGGCGACAGACAGCCCCGCGAGGATGAGCGCCAGGGCCTGCGTGATCCGGCGGCCGAAATAGGAAATCACACCGTAGGCGATGAGCTTCGCCGGGATGTCCACCACCCCGAAGATCACCTGGATGAGGTAGACACTGACCCCAAAGTTCTGCAGGTCCATGGCCAGACCATAATATGCAAAGCTGGTGGAGAACCTGCCATTGAAGCAGAAAAAGCGCGCCAACGTGTGGGGTTTTGGGTGGGCCCAGGCAGCATACAGGTGAGTGAGAGGGGGACCCGGGGCCCGGTTCTGGTCCCCTTCCGCACTGAAGCTCCCCGGGGTGCTTTGCCCCAGACATGGAAGCTCAGCCTGGCCCACCTCACAGGGCTGTTGTGAGCATCAGAGTGACAGTTGGTTTCGCATGCCACCTCGGGCAACTTGGAGGGGGAAAGGCAGAATTTGGATAACACATCATAATTCCAAAGCTCAGCAACTTTGAGCTGGATGCTACCCAGGTAATACTGTGAGTGTTTTTGCCTTCTGGGTCCTTGTTTCTGCTCTTGTTTGCAAATGTTTCCCACCCCAACGTACCACACAAAGCTGAGGCAGCATGTTCTGCGACGTAAGGCCGGCGTGCGCACGAGGTCGGCAACGATGAAGCTGGACTTGGGGGTGGGCTTCTCTTTCTGGATGCTGACTTTCAGGTCCTGCAGAAGCAGAAAAAGGGAGTGGCTTATCCAAATTCCCAAAATGCATCCTGCCAAAATTACACAAGCGTTGCCCCGAAATCCACAGACCAGTGGTCTAACCTGTTGAATTTAGAGGAGAGACAAAATTAGCGCATCTGCTTTCACTCTCTCCCCCAAACTTGCAGCTTTCCAGCTCGGAAAAGTAATCCCAAACCTTCCAGAAAGAAGACTCCAAAAACTCCCCAAAGAAAGAAAATATGCAAAACTATGGGTGTGTAAGAATTTAGTTTCTGTTCAAAAGTTGTGCAAACATGCTTCATTTCTATCCCAAACTCTAAGCGAGGCCACTTCATATTTTTGTCCTCAAGAGAGTTTGCAAGTGCCCGAATTTGCCGGCTCATTAAAAAAGCATCTTTCTGAAAAAAGCACCCTTTAAAATATACACACACCCTGCACACAAGCCATTTCTCACCCTATTCAGTCAGGGGAAAATGCATACTTTTGAGTAACATACTATTTTGTCAGGCCAAAAAAACTAGTCGAAAGCTGACGTTAATGTTCGAGAATTTGAGCAAGCTGGAAAATCACGTGTTCTCCTTTCTATACATAAAGTTGGATCCTGGTTGCAGAATTTAAATCCCACCCGGTTGCAGAATTAAGAGGTGTGATAGCAGGTGGGGGGAAAGGGTTGCTTTTTTGGCCAGGGAGAAAAGGGAATTTCCAGCTTGCTTAAATTCTCTAAAGCTAATGTCAGCTTTCCACTTGCCACATTATATCACTTTTCTCCTGGCAGGCTCCTCTTTGCTGGGAACTTCTGGCAAGCTCTGAATTTCTGCAGCATGGAGGTGGGATGAAAGGCAAGTGCTGAGCTTCTAGCTGTCCAGGAGGCATTGGAGCCCTGGCAGGGAAAACGTTGGCAACCGTGTCTTGTTACCTCAAGACTGAGCTTCTCTCCTTGCTCCTTCCTCTTGTTGACCCGGGCAACTTTCCGCAGCTCCTTGAGTGCCTGGTCCAGCTTGCCAGCCGTGGTGTACCATCGGGCCGACTCTGTGAACCACCTGGCCAAGGAAGGTGGAGGAGAGGAGAGGAGAGGAGAGGAGAGGAGAGGAGAGGAGAAGAGAGGAGAGGAGAGGGGGCAGAGTGTGTCTAAAGAGGATTCCAGCCCACTGATCGCTTTTCCGCACTCCCTAAAGGAGCTCTCCTGCGGCAGCCGGCAGGCCTGCAAAGTATCCAAGCGAAAGGACTTCCCTTTGCGTCTCCTCCTCCCTTCTGAGCTCCCTGCCTCCCGCAGGAATGATTTCCTTCCTCTGGCTGGCACCCCGACGGAAGGCCGCGGGGGCGACATGGCGCCACTTACCAGCTGTACAGGAAGCAGGCGAAGTAGGGGCAGGAGACGGCCAGCTGCAGCCAGCGCCAGTCACGCACGGCGTAGGCCACGCCTGCCAGGACGAACTGCCCCGCGCTGTAGCCGTAGCCGGTCACCATGCTCACGGTGGCCCGCGAGCGCATCGGCGTCCACTCCACCGCTGGAAGAGGAAACCGGGGAGGCTCATTGGGGGAGAGCCGCTTTTGCCTGGGCGTTTCGGCTTGGCGGATGATGCCCCGTGTGCGGACACACGAGGCGGGTGCTGAAGGAGGAGAGGCTCCCGGGAGATTTGGTGGCCTGGGTGGACAGCGAGCTCACGGCTTGTCCCGTGCGCAAAAGCCAACCGGTTGCTTTTCCTCGCTGCGACGCAGCCGGAGGGCGTCAAGCCAGCCGTGGGGCAGACAAGCGGCCGTCCTGCCCTGCAGCTTCCTCCCCCGACAGCCGCCGCTGCTGCCGCCTCGTCCTCCTCTGCGGGGGACCCCGTGCGCCACTCGAGGGCCGGTGGATTCAAGGAGCTCTCCATGGTGCTGAAGGCCACCTGCGCAGCACCAGGGCCCAGCTCCTTCAAGCCTCCGGCTTCGCCCACGAGGAGCCCCTGGGTGCACCTCACACGGGCGCTTCCATCTCCACTGGGCAAAGACAAACCGGACTGGTTTTGGGAGAAGCCCCAAAACAGGACAGCGGTGGTGCAGGGCTCATTTCGAGGTTCAGGGGCTCGTTACGAGAGTCCCCATAGCCGCACTTCTAAGGGGTGTCCAGAAATTCTGGTAGTTCCTTGTTGACAAACTAGTTGTCACACTAGCTGACGACTCGTTTCCATCTCTGGCAGGGGCTGGTGTGTGAATGGGTTTTTTGTGCCCGTTTCGGACTGAGCGGCCTCTCCAATCGTCCCTGCTGATTGAAAAGATACTAGCCCGGTCCTCATTGGTGCAACTGCACAGCTGTGGCCCACGAGGAAGAGAAGGCCCTTTGTGCATGCTCAGGGGCTTCCCCAGCGCCTGCTCGGCAGGGCCGTGTGGCTCCAGGGGAACTTACACAGTGAGGTGCAGTTCAGGCCGATGCCCGACAAAGCCATTCCCGAGAGGAAGCGGAAAGTGCAGTAGGCGGTGAAGCTCGGAGCGAAGGCGGCGCAGCACCCGGAAACGGCGACCTGGAAGCATGACCAGATCAGCAACGCCTTGCGGCCGAACCTGAGCCAGGGGAGAGGGGGGCTCGTTAGCTTGCGAGCTCGGAGCTAGCTGTGAAGATGTTGAGGAGCAGGAGTCTGAAATTGTCATCTGGAAGCTGGGGCCTGGAAGGAAAGTGTGTGTTCCGCCAACGACGCAATGAACGTGGGCTCAGCTTCCGGGAATTAAGCCCAGCCGGCCCAGGAGCTCCATATTGCAGGCCAGTCACGGCCTCCGGACCGGAGGAGCGGGTGACTCCTTTTGTTTGTTTCGAACGCCTAAGAGCATCTCTGAACCCCTAAGAGCTTCTCTGAAGTGGGACTTGGGCCTCGCCTTCAAAAGTCAACCCACCCACCCTTGTCTCCCTCTTTCGGTTCTAGCTGCTATTTCTATCTCTCTCTAAATTAGCACATGCAAATAGAATGCAGATGGTCGTCCTCATTTTCTTCCCATGTGATGCACTCCTTCGTTTTTGACCCGCAGCCACCCTATTTGCTGGACGTGACATTTTTGGGAGGTTCTGCTTATCTACCCAGAGTATTTTGAATCGCAGATTCCCCAGCTGGGATATTTATAGGAGTGACTGCTAGAAAACGGGGAAGATCTTACTTGTCCGAGAGGCCGCCAAACACAACCGCACCCAGCAACACGCCGGCCATGTAGATCGACTGCGCCATCTGCTGCAGGTTCCGAAAGTCACACACCAGGTCCCACTGCAGGAGAGAGGGCAACTGAAATTAGGGATTGGTGAGGACTAGAAACTTGTGCAGGATGCAGGAACAGACTGGAGTCAGGAAAGCTATTTAAGGAGCAGAATGTGGATTCCCTCCTATAGGTTAATGTGTGAAAAGGCGCATTTGGGGGAATTGTGCCTTTTCAGAAGTGCAAATTGGTTTACATGCACACAAATGTGAGTTAGGAAATTGATAAAAATCAGACTCCTTCAGTGTGAGGTCAACAGAAAGCCTCTTGTGAATTCTTGAAATGCAGATATCATATATTTAACAAAATCCATGCATCCCTACATTTAACCATACAACACCCCTGTGAGGTAGGTCCCAAAGGGAGACAGTGACTGGCCCAAAGTTACCTAACATGTTCAGAGGCTGATTCAGGATTTGAACCCAGGACTTTCCCTGATATAAGCTGCCACAAAACCCAGTGTGCCACAGAGTTTCAAATCCACCCACCCTGATGCAAACATTTAAGTCACGTGCTTTCGAATCATTGCAAAGATGTGACTTTGAAAAATTTGAAGAAAAAAAATCTTTAAATTCCCTCGTGATATTTTATGTGCACGAGGATGGGAAAAATGCAGATATTGTTAGAAGATAAGGCCCATTTAGAGCCACCTATTAGCTCTTCCTCACTCCAAGTACTTTGAACATCTTTTAAAATGTGAGAAGCTTAGTTAGGAACTAGAAAGAAAAAGTTAGGGATGCCCAAAAAACCTGTAATAGGTTCAGAGGAGTTTGGATATCTGCAAATCTGATCTGTGGATTCCATGGTCAGGGATCATGGAGTGTTTGAGGAATGTATAAAATATAAAGCATGCAGGTTCTGCCAAGTTGAAACAGCTAAAAACCCATTAAATGCATTCTTAACCCTGTTTCCTTTGTCAGGAATATTGTCCTGTTGCATATGGAAAGTTTGCTTTTCCCCCCTTTTTTTTTAAATGAGCCAGTGATCTGTTCTAGGACCCAAGTGGCCAACTGCAGCCCCCTCAAAATCCCCCTGGGGTTCTGCCAGCGCATTTTGCAGTGGAGAAGCAAAGCAAGAACTTACCCCGACATTTGGCCAGGAACTGACAGGGTGGCTTTAAAATGCAGCTTTCAAAAAAAAGCGGCTCGGTGTATTTTAAAGCTCAGGGTTGGCTTTTTCGGGCCACTGGGCAGTTTGCTCCGAATCTCAGGGGCAACACGCCGGGGGCAGGGGGGGGGGTTGTTCCAAGTGCAGGAAGTTCAGGCCCATTTAAGGCTTGTGGGGGGAATATGTGGCTCGCATACCTGTGTTGCGCACCCCTTCTGTTGTCAGAGAAAGCCTAGCAACACACAAGAAACGTCCCTCTGGCCCGTTCCCCCCGCCATGTCCAGGCAGTCAGGGCGTTCGCCTACCTCTGTCACGATGGTGGAAGCAAAGACGCTTCCTTCGTAGGTCCATCCATCGAGGCACGGTTCCAGCTCTGCCCCCGGTGCCTCCAGCCCCGTGAAGTTGCGGTCCAGTACGGGCCACTGGGTGGTGATGAATCGGCGGCACTTCTGCAGCATCCGGCCCCCGTCTGTAGGGATGGTGGCTCTCAGCAGCTCCCCGCAGCGCCCCGGGGCATCGCCGTCCACGCCGCAGGTGTCGTTTGCGGAGATGCGGCAGCGGTGCCCGGGCATGGCCGCCGTGAAGTTCTGCAGCAGGTTGTGAGCCGCCATCATCACCACTGGGAAGCACAGCATGGCCACGTTGAGCACCTGGAAGCGGCCCATGCCGCCCACCTGCTCCAAAAGCTCGGCGAAGGTCATGGTCGTTCAAGCGCCCAGCGGGCCTGGGCCGAAGCGGGTGGGCATCCAAGATGGACGCTCCCCAGAACCTGTGTGGGCTTGGCGATCCGGAGAGGCCGGTTTCAGACTGACTTGCCAAATGTGGAGAAGAAACCTGGAAGGCGGATTATTATGCAACAGTTCTGCTGGGCTCCTGGAGCTCCGGAGAAAGGAAACAGTTAAGAAAAGGATGTTTTTGCACTTCTCCTGCTGACGGGCAATGCAGACCGGCTGCTGCCCCGCTGGGCTCTTTGTCTTTGAGCCTGCCCCGAAGTCACCCAGAAGTGCGTCTCCTCTCCGTGGCGGCGTTCTTACGAAACCAGTCGGATTCGCTCCTCTCCCTCTCCCACTCCCCACGCAAGGCATGGAAGGTGCAAGCAAGTCAAAAGGGGGAGCGACGAAACCAGGTCCCCGGGAGGTGACTGCTTTTGGCCCCAATTCCCAGCCGGCTGAGTCTTAGACGGCTTAGTTGCTTTAATCAGACGCGCAGGTCTGTGAGGTTTGGAGGTATTAACGAAAGCGGAGAGAGAATTTATTTCAAAGGAATTTCGGCAGGGTTGCAGGAGGAACGAGTCAGACCCGCATAAGGAGCCCTCCCCCTCTCGTGTCGGTGCGTTTCTGGTTGCAGAGAAAGCAACACGGCAAAAGGCTCAACGTGCAGGGTGCCCATCTTCAAGGGCAGAGTGAGACCAGCTCAGGCCACCCACGGCTGTCGGCTGCAGCCTTCCCAACCTTGGGGCCACCAAATGTTCTGCACTACGACTCCCAGAATTCCCGACCCTGACCATGCAGGGTAGGGCCTGCGGGAGTTCAAGTCCAAAACTTCTGGAGGATGCCAGATTGGAGAAAGCCAGGGAGATGTTTTTCCTCCTGGCCCGAGATGCATCCCTGGAGTCTCAGGACGAGGGACCAGCCAAGAAACAGATCTTAGGGTCCCTTCTGAGCAGAAAGGGGTGGAGATCTGGCTCAGTGCATGTTCATTCTGAATCCATGGCATCCATTTGCTTTCATGTTTGATCAGACAAGTGTAGGATGGAGAAGAAAGGGGATTTCGTGGCAGCTCTGATCTTGACTTAGCATCCTGCTTTCTCTACTTGTGTGCTTCGGTGTTTTCCCCTCAAGAATGGCCGCCGGGAATTGATCTTGCATATTGACAGCTGTTTGCTCATAATCCTAACACTGTCGGCCGTGGATTCTGGGTTAGAGAATCATTAGGATTGCAAGCAAACAGCTAGCAAAGTAGGCTTGGTTTGTGGCATCCCCAGGTGGAGCTACAGAAAAGCACGTGAGAAATTCTAGAGGGACGGAGCCATTTGATATCCGGTTTCTTGAGCTGGATGGACCAAGCATCTTGACTATGTACAAAATTAGTTCCTAGAACTGGAATTGGAATTCCAAGTGGGTGTTAAAACCTATCCTGCAAAAACTCCAGAGATTCCATTGTGGCCTAAAAGAACCAGGTTGGTGTGGAAGTAGTCAAGAGTGTGAGACCAGGACTCAGGAGATCCGGGTTCAAGTCCCCGCTCAGCCATGGAGCCAACTGGGTGACTGGGCCAGTCACAGATTCTCAGCCCAGCCTCCCTCACAGGGTTGTTGTTGGGAGAAGAAGACTTGTACAAGCTGCCTTGAATTCTTTGGAAGCAAAAAAGTAGGATATAAATCGAATAAAGAAATAAATGATAAAAGAGGAATAGATGGATTGCGACACCTTCCAGGAGGGCAGACAAACTGGGTGAATCTAAGGCAGTTGAAAACACAAAGAGCATCTTGAAAGCATCTTAATTTGTTTTGGTCTCACATCCATGAGCCGTTGCCTTTATTGACAGACACATACAAACAGCGACAGAGAACATTGTAAACCGTGGGGCTCAGCAGCCACAAAATAAATGCAGAAAGGAAAGGGTGTTTGTGTGCATGCAAAATCCAGACATGGATACGATAAGCACAGAGACCATTCTCAGCATGAATAACTAGACCTTTCCCAAGCTTCGCACTGTTTGTTTAATACCTGCTTCTGGGAGAACAAACTCTGCTTCTGATTTGAAACGTAGACAAAAAGCATCAAATATGACGGGGCAGAGGGGGAAATGCTGATGTTGGAAGAAGCAGTTGATGCTCTGCCTGAGGAACAGCTGTTCAGTTTAGCAGCAGACTAAGGGGGGGGGTGGTGCACGACACCCCCAAATCCATTAAACTGAGCCAGTCATTTGAGGAGAAATGTTGTTTGGTGAAATGGACGCTTCCCCAGTTTTGGTTCTTAGAACCGTTTCATGGACCCTTCCTCGGGGTGGCTTGGGAGCAAATCCCATCGAAGCCAATGAGGCCATGGCTGGGTGGTGTTTTTATGTGCAAGGAGGCATGTAGCATCTGCCCAACACATACGCCAACCAGACTGCCCTTTCCTGTCTCAACTGCAATCCGTACAGGAGCCACAAGATGGAAATGAAATTTCCCAGGAATTATGGATAGGTTCCTATTGCAATACAAAGACTTGAATAGACGGTGAAGACCTGCTTGCTCCTGAAAATGTGGGAGCGGGCTTAGTGATGGACCTCAGTCTGCAATTTGGGCCCTGCTTCGGGTAGAGGATTCTTGCTCACCACTGCAGGAAAGGTTTCTGGCATCTGCAGCAGAGACGAAAAGGGGGTCTCGCCCATTCTGTGAGCAGAGCCGATGACGTTGGCAATCTGAGCTTCCTTGGACACCAACAGAACAGCCACTGTTACTGATCTTAAATAAAAGATGGGTAAGCTGGCTAGGTCAGGGGGCTCAGAAAAGTGGGGGGACTGACACCAAACCCATCTTCTTTCACCTTTGATGTCTGTATCACTCCACACAAAGGCCTGTTGCAGATTAGACTAAAACTGAACGATTAATTCTCAAGTGCTCCATCACACTTTCCCTCCAAAAGCACATTAACTGCCTTTGAAATCTTTCCAACTACATTTCAAATTATGCCTGTTCTGGATGGTGGGATCTTGCAAGATTTCCTGATTCGACAGGAAGGCAATCCAGATGTAAAAAGAAAGCCAAACGTTTCTCCTCGTAGTTCAGACTTCGGAAACAAAACTCGGGGACAACATTTAGCACATCTGTTTCGATCATGGCCCTGTGATCGGAGTGGCTTTTCATATTGCTCCTTTCAGCTGCTGAGAGAAGAGTTGTTCGTTCTGTGAAAAGGTGTATTTTTTTCCTGGCCAGCCCTCCACCAGAATGGCAGTTCCCAGGGAGTGAGGAGGGAATCTGCCAACTTGTACCGCAGGCGTCGTTTTAATTTCCCTGGGATTTTCCAAAAGCCCCTCCAAACAGGTCCTTCTGTAGAAAAGTAAAATGCTGATTCCTCCAATTCTCTTCCCCTCCCAAAATAAATTCATCCCACCCACCAAAGCGAAACAGCCCATTTCAAGGGGGACAAAAATCGTTCAGGTCAGTTTGGGACACAGAGAAGAAGTTAAATATACTCTTCTCTGGAGAAACTGGATAAGGAAGCCCTGGGCATGTTTTCTGCTAATTCCAGAACCCAAACTAGTCACCCCATGACTGGTGGGAGATACACTGTGTATGAACTATCAAATTCCCTTCCAAGAAATATAGTGATGGTCCAATTGAGTTAGCTGGGAAGGTGGGTTGGGCAAATTCATGGAGAAGGCTACTAGTCCTCATGGCTGCACATGACCTACAGTGTCCGGTCTTTGCCTCTGAGTACCAGCTGCTGAGGAACTTGGGTAGGAGGGTGTTTTGGCCCTCAGGGCCTTGTTGCGAGATGGTTCCTGTAGGATTTGGCAGCCACTGTGAAACCAAATGCTAGCCAGAGAGTCCTTTGCTCTGATTCAACAGGGCTTCTCTTATGCTCTTAAATTTACATCTATGCATATATAAATAAGCACATGCAAATATCATGCAAAGTGGTGTCCTTTTTCACACATTTTTTCGACAATGTGTAAGTGGTCTCCCTCTTTGAAGAGAGCCGGGGGAGCTCTGGCACCCTTTGTGGGGTGTGGTACATGGAGTGGTGTGCTCGGAAAGCTTTTCTGCCTTTTTCTGGCTTAGCTCCCCTCTTTGCTGGGATCCTCTTTGATGGAGGCAAACAAAACCTTCATTTGCTGTTCATCCTCTTGGCTGGGCCGTGACCTTAAAAGAAACAATGGCAGAGAAATCATCAATATTTTTCAAATCACGGCCTGCTCCAGGGGAACAGCCTCTCCTCCAACCCACCCTGTTGAAAGCCCACTTCCTTTTTCCTCTTCCCTCTCCACCCCCTTTCCTCACATGCTATGTCTTTTCTAGATTCCAAGACTGCATGGGGCAAAGATTGCCTTGTTTTCCTGGTTGCACAAAAACACCCCTGAGAGTGATAAAAAGACAATAATAAATACATGCGACGATAAAACACTAGTGCACACCAGCATGTTACAGGAGAGCCATTTTGACTTTTTAGAATGGGGTGCAGAAAACGACATAAAAACTAGACCACCAAACAGTCAGTGGGGGCTCCCCAGTCTGAGGTTCTCACTCCTGGGATGAGCAATGAAAAGCCACTGAAATTTGTCCATAAAAAAGACATTATGTTCTAAAAACAGTGCCTCTGGGTATATACAGACTTCTGCTTGCTTTCTCACCCCTCCAGGGTAGAAGCCTCCCAAGATTTTAGGAATGCCCTGAAACTCACTGTCTTTCCACTTGCTCAATGGTCTCCGGCAAAGGGACATTCCGAGTCTCCGGAAGAAAACAGGTGACGATGCCAGAAATTATGGGGGCAGCCCCATAGATGATTAGTGGCAGCGATGGGAAAAACTCCCCCAACATCTTCACCAGAGGGGCGATCATGCTGCCCACGCGGGCCATGGTGCCCCCGAGCCCCAGCCCTGATTGCCTGCGACGAGAAACAGAACAGACATGAAGCCTCTCCATTTTCCCTCCCTTGCAAGAGTTCCCGCTTGGAATCACGGCTCATTTCTTTGTTTGCTGAGAGTTTTGCAGAGCGGCATTAAATAAAGTCAAAGGATTCAAAGGAAATCAATTGCAAAGTTTAAAAACAATTGCACCACATTAAAAATAACCATCAGGTACAAACCTCATCGAGAAATGACCTAGGGAAATATCTAGGTCTTCTCCCAGTGGGTGTTTCCGTGTCTTTTTGGAAATGCCAGCAAATTAACATGTTGCTACCTATGCGTTGGCTCGGCAATGAACAGGCATGACTGTTCCCCATCCCAAGGATCTAAGCAAAATGCCTAAGCAATTTGCTATGGATCTTTAAAAGAGAGAGAGTCCTCTTTTTTTCGGTCCTGGCTTTAGGGAAAGGAACCCAGGAGCTTCATCCTACCTGATCACAGTTGGGAAAAGCTCCCCGGAAAAGATGTAGGCACAGTTGAAAGAGGCGGCCAGGGAACCCTTGCCGATCACCGCGAAAGTCATCCTCAGGTTGGCCAAATCTGGGATACAAAGAACAGTCAGACAGAAACAGAACTGGCTGTTTGGAGGGCAAGGAGTGGGTGGAGAGGCAGTCTTTTCGCATTAAAACAAATTCAGGGTACAAAAGAGTCCAGTTTGTTGTCTTACATGGACTGGTTAAAACAGAGCTAACAGCTGACCACTAAATTTGGATCCTGAAAGCAGAAATTCTATAGGATCCTGAAAGCAGAAAGTCTGTTAACACTCCTTTTCCTTTCCAAGTGTTCTTCTATTTTTTATTTTTAAAATTAAGCCAAAGGGTCTTTTGGCTTTGACATGAGCGTCCCTGAGGGCCAAGTGCCCTTCCCACAGCCCACCCTCCCTAGCGGACCCTCACCTTGAGGCACGAAGACATTGACCAAGATGCACAGGCCGGCCAGGATGAGCGACAACGCCTGGGAAAACCTCCGACCCACGTAGGTGATTGTTATGACTGAGATGAGCTTTGCTGGGAAGTCGACGGCGCCGAAGACCAGCTGGGTTAGGTAGAGGTCGAAGCCGAAGTTTTGCAGATCCATGGCCAGCCCATAATAGGCAAAGCTCGTGGCAAACCTGGGGAGGGGCGTGACGGATTGGGAGGCGTGACTTGATCTGCGGTGGCGGGAAAGTGCTGGAGATCTTAAGCCATGTTGTACATGCAACGAGTCTTAAGTTCAGTCCAGGTGAAAGGATCAAGGGACATGAGAATTTGCCTCATCCTGGACGGATGGATTGGCGAGCACCTCCGGTCCGGATTGGGGTCTTTCCCAGCCCTACCTGGGAGGCACCGGGATCAGAGCTGGGACCTTTGCCTGCAAATATGCCCCCTATCACTGAACTATGGATTGCCCCCCAAAAAACGAAGTAAGATTCTCGTCCTCATGGTTCTGAAGAAAAGGTGGATTCACACAGGGACAGGACTCACCCTGTGTATTGGTCCATCTGGCCAAACCTGCCCAGGCTGACTGGCGGCAGTCAGAGAACTATCTGTTGTGTGAGGTGTGATCATTCCCCCAGAAAGAGGAGAGAGAGAAATTACTTGCCAGACAAAGGAGACCCCACAGGAGATCTTGCGAACGGCCGGCGTCCGCACCAGGTCAGCCATACTGTGGTTTGTCTTGGTGGACGAGAGCTCCTTCTGCATGCTGGCCTTCAGAAACTGCGAGAGGAGGGAGCAAAGCTGAGCCAGAGCTGGGATGCACGGAGCAGGAGGCCAAGATTGAAAGACCTCACGGGCTGCCGAACGAGGGACGGGAGCTAACTCGCAAAGCGTGTGGGGAAGCGCTGCTCCTGTTGGCCAGCAGCCCGACCTGTGCAGCCAGGGGCTTTCCTTACAAAATGAAGTTTGGAAACAACGCAAGTCTTCCTGCTCGAGCTCGCGACAAGCAGCACGATCTGAAGCTGGCTTCATGAACTCAGCGTTGGAGGAGTCACCTTTTTATATATCTAGGCAGTCTCTGAATCCAGGTCTCCTGAGCCCCCATCCAGCCCTCCAACCATCATGCCCAGCTCACTTCCCAGCGAGCCGGTCCTCATTTCCCTTCTCCCCGCGGTGTCCGACCTCCACACTGAGCTTTTCCCCTTCCTTCTTCCTCCCGTTTATCCAGGCAGCTTTCTTCAGACTTCGCACAGCCTGCTCCTGTTTCCCCGAAATCGCCAGCCAGCGGGCTGACTCCACAAACAGCCTGCAGGCCAGAGAGATGGAAACAGAGTCACCGAGCGCCACTTGGAAGGAAGCACTGTCTAGTGGTTAGATTAGGCAGGGAGGAGAGCACAGGGCTGCAGATGCTCCCAATCACCCATTGCGCCATGATTTTGTGGCTTTTGTCCAGTTCTTTTCCCCACCCTCAAAGGCCGCCGACCCTAAAGGCTTTCAGCTCAACTCTGCTGGCGTTTGGGGCATGGATCCTTTTCCCCCCGCACCCCTTTTCCTTTGCCCTTCACCTTGATTGGAATGCACCCCCCACAAGCGTTTCTGCAAAATGGGCTTCAGCCCTCGAGAAGAAAGAAGTCCACATCCCATTCGAGCAGCCGTTTAAGAATGGGATTTTCCATCAACCCAAAGCGGGTCCCCAGTGCTGACACAGGCACATGGTGACGTCTAAGTCAGAGGGGTTCCTTATCCATGGCAGCTTGTTCTTTTGAGCTTCTGGGAGCTCTCCGTGGTGACGAACTGATTGGGGTTGGTGTTCAGCCACACTTCTGTGACACTCAAACAGAAAACTGCCATGGAGGTGGACCCCACCGGCCATCAATACCCTTCCCTGAATGCCAACCCACCCCTTTTCATCAATAAGAGCAGCCTCGAGATGAAATGCCGTTTGTGATGGTCCTAAAGGAAAGAAGATGCAGCTTCTTCAACGGGCAAGATCACAGCAAAACTTGGAGAAACCAGCCTTAAAAAAGACGGTCCAGCTGACATGGAAGGCATCCAAACGAAGGCCAAAAAGGCTCTTAATTTTTCCACCAGACCATTAATTACTGCTAGAACTGGTTTACTGGCATGGAACTGTCCACGTTTTGCGACTGTCCGTGGTTCTGGAATCTGCCACGAAGAGCATCTTTCTGTCCATATTTGCTCAAACGATCCTGCACGCACCCCGTGGACCTTCCGCCTCTTCTGCTGACCTACCAGGAGTAGAGGAAGAAGACGAAGAAAGGTAGAGAGACGGTGAGTTGCAGCCAACGCCAGTCGGAAATGGCGTACGCCGCTCCGGCCAGGATGAACTGCCCGATGGTATAGCAGTAGCCGTTGATGGTGCCAACAATGGCGCGGTATTTGGTCGGGATCCATTCCATGCCTGGGCCGGAAAAAACACACAGACAAGAGCTGTTGACCGTCCGGTCGTCCGCAGAGGCCGGCGGTCCACGGAGGGCACAGACAACAGGCGAAAAGCATTCCCGGCATCGTGACCTCCCGCCGTGCGAGGCCGGGCTTCCAGCAGCTGCACGGTCTGTGGGAGAGACACGCGCATTTGCTCGAGCGGCCGAGCCCGCTTCTCGCGGGCTTTCCAGCCAGGTCGCCTGCTTGTTGGTGGAACGGGCGTCTGTGCGAATGCAAGCACGGCTTTATGGAAAGCATCGCTTCCCGCTTGATTCACGTGGCAGGCGGTGGCCCAGGTCGCTGGAGCGGCTCGGAGTTGGGCTGCGTCCAGAGAGTTCTGCAGGAGATGCCGAGGTGGCTTGGCCACTGGCCAGTCCCCAAAACTGCAGCCTTTCTCCATGACCTGGCGACTTGTGGGTATTTTGGGAACCACAGTTCCCATCATCCCAGCCAGCATGGCCAGAGACCAGAGCTTCTGTCCAATGTGTACAGAGGAAGGCTGCTTCCTTCCTTCCTTCCTTCCTTCTGTCCTTCCTTCCTTCCTTCCTTCCTCCCTTCGATTTAGATCCTGATTTTTTTAAACAAATAACTCAGTTCAGCTTACACCACTCTGCTGCTCCTGCTCTCAGTCTTATCCCCACAAAACAACCCTTTGAGGTAGGCTGGGCTGAGACTCTGGGGCTGACTGAGTGGAGACTAGAACCCAGCTCGCCTGAGTCCAGCCCTTTGCCCTTAACACACTTACGGAGAAAAGTGGTTCATAGATTTATACCCCACTTTTTAACCCACAAGGAACCCAAACAAGGACACATAATTCTCCCGTTTCCATTTCGTCCGCACACCAACCCTGTGGAGTAGGCTGGCCCAAAGTTACCCAGGGAGCGCCATTCCTGAGCAAGGACTAGAACCCGGATCTCCGGCGTCCAGGTCCGACGCTCGAACCACACTCCATGCATGCTCAGGAACTATGTGAGCCCGGCGGGGCGCCTGGGGGACAGGTGTCCACGCGAGAGGGGAACTCTGGCACTCACACAGAGAGACGGAGTTGAGCGAAATCCCGGACATGGCCATCCCACACAGGAAGCGCAGCAGGCAGTACCCAGTAAAGTTTGGCACGAAGGCCGTGCAGGCTCCCGCTGCCCCCATCTGCAGGTAGCACCAGACGATGAGGGCTTTCCGGCCGAACCTGAATTTCCAGGAGAGGGAAGTCGGTTAGTCTGCCCCATTAGAAACATTCACGGAGCCTGCGAAAGGCTCCAAAGAGCCTTTGCAGACCCGGCCCCCTCCCTGGGATACATGGGGTTTTGTCTGCCGAGTGGTACACGAACCCTGGGGACGGGGCATCGTAGGAACTGTCCTTTCTGCCAGAACATTTATAGGGTTTTATCCTGAGAGGGGAATAGCACTTTATCGTTCCTCGCTGTTCCACAAAATTATTATTATTATTATTATTATTATTATTATTATTATAACATTTCTATGCCGCCCCTTGCCGAAACCTCGGGGCGGCTTACAACATGATAAAATACATTGAAATACAATAGTACATAATAAATTACCATTAAATATAACAATACAAAAAATACATTGATTTACAAATACAAAATTAAAATTATCAGTATAAAATAAAAATATAGGAGGAGAAAGAGAAGGAAGAAGAAGTTGCCCAGGCCAGATCATATGTTTTAACAATTGAAATTGAAAACAATTGAAAATCCTGCCATTCGTAGATTTGTGGTTTGGTGCTCGAATATAAATTTATTCTCTATGCCGTGTTTCTTAGGATGTAAGTTCTGTTGCTTATTCTGGGACTCCATTTTCCTGTTCTAACTTTGGAGCAGGTGGTTAATGAGTTGAGGCTTAATGATTGTAAGCCGCCCCGAGGCTCATGTGATGGGGCGGCGTATAAGTTGTTTAAATAAATAAAAATAAATAAATGAAATCTGCTTATTCTTTTAACTGGTGAGGCTGAAATTTATGTCTGTTGGAGATATAACTTTGCATGGCATTATATTTTGTATATTATAGCAATATCCCACCTTTTTTCCTTTCAAGGGGCTCTCTTCTCCTCCCACTGACAAACTTACCCTCACAACATCCCTGTGAGGTAGGCTGGGCTGAGGGTCTGTGACTGGCCCAAAGTCACCCAGTTGGTGCCGTGGCTGAGCAGGGACTCGAACCCGGACCACTTGAGTCCCAGACTCACACTTTTAACCACAGCACACCCCCTGGGTGCTGTCTAATTGGAAATTCAGACTTTGTGCTGAATTCATTGGACATGCACATGGTGGGCATGTCATGAAGGGGGCGGGCTGGAGCCGGGGTCAGACTAGATGGCCTGGGAGACCCCTTCTCACTCGCTCTTGTTTCTGTGTTTCTATTATTTATCTGGGCATTCTTGTCCCAAGAGACTTAAGTTAAATTTGCATATGCTGATTAATGAGGTCTCGGCAGACATCAGCAGAAGGATGACTATAACATTAAACTGTAGGGTAAATACACTTAAAATGAATATAATATCACAAATTGTTTATGTCTTATATGGCACTCCTTTCTTTTATTGGGCAGCCATTTCTGCTTTGGTGGTGCATTTTTAGGGGGTTCCGCCTGAAGCAAATATCTCGAGCAGATTCCAATTTTCAGTCAAAGAAGCTGAATTTGGACTCTCCGACCTTCGCTTATCGCACTGGGGCTTGGGAGAGATCTCTGGGTTTCGCTTCCGGCGGTGCTGCAACCAGCCCGAGCCCAGGGGCCTCACCTGTCCGAAAGGCCGCCGAAGATGATCGACCCAATCAGCACCCCGGCCATGTAGAGCGACTGCGCCATCTGTCTCAGCGTCCAGGAGTCACACACCAAATCCCACTGTGAACCCCAAAAGAGGCACATGAGAAGCGGCGCCAGGCAAGAGACCCCTGGCATCGCACCAACCAGCTCTCAGTGGCTTCCAGAATTTGCTCTCAGAACCTGGTGGTGTAGCCAAGCCGGGGCTCGTGGGGATGTGGCCCCAGGGCCTTTGCCACAGCAGGACGCGACCCCCTCACCGTTCTCTCTGCTTGGATCCAACCGGCCCCGTAGCTGCAGAGCAGAAATGGATGGGCGCCAGGCCAATCAATGCCCCCTGTTTGTTTGCCTGCTGTTACATTTATATCCTGCTTGCTCTCTTTTCAAGGAACTGAAGGCAGCTCACAGTGTTCCCCTCTCAATCTTATCAGCACGACAGCCCTGCAGGGCACCCTGAGGGTCTGTGGTTGGCCCATGGCTGAGCAGGGGCGAGAACCCGCATCCCCCAAGTCCCAGTTCCGCACTCTTCCCCTCCATTTTATCCTCGCAGCAACAACCCTGTGAGGTAGGCCAGCAAGAGCATTTGCGACTGCTCCAATGCTGCATGGCCCGGGGGGGACCGGATCCCGGATCTCCCAAGCAAACGCTGCCTCCCCCTCCGCACACCGCCCTCTCCCCCTTTCCCAGAGCAACCATCACACACACACACAGCGCTGTCCCCGCGCTTTTCCAAGAAGGGGCCCGATCCCTCACCTCGCTGACAATGGTGCTGGCGAAGACGCTCTGGTCGTACGCCCACCCGTCGGCACAGGGCTCGGTCTCCGGGGCGGCGGTGTCGTTGCCCAGGGTGGCGTTCGGGTCCAGGAGCCTCCACTGGGGGGTGGCGAAGCGGCGGCAACTCTCCGCCCGCCGGTTGCCGTCCATGGGGATGGAGACCCTCAGAAGGCTGTCCGCCCCCAGGGGCAGGCTGCTGTTGCCGGCTTGGCGGGTGTGATTGGCCGTGATGCGGATCTGGCAGTGGTGCCGGGGAACGCCGGCCGTGAAGTTCTGCAGGAGGTTGTGGCTGGCCAGCATCATGAGCGGGAGGGCCAGGAAGGCCACCGAGGTCTTCTGGAAGCGGCCCATGCCGCCCAGGCTGTCGAGAATTTCGGCGAAGCCCATGGCGCAGCGGCTCCCTGTGAGCAGCCCTGAGCTGGAGAATCGCGCCTCGTGGGGTCACCGGCAGGCCCACGGAGCTCCTCAGTGGCTTTCCGGTTTCGGGGCCTTTTGGAAGGTGGAAATGCTGCAGTTTGCTTTCCCCGCGATCTGTCGGCTGACCCCTCCGAACCTGCAGTGGGACTCCTCAATTTCTCCTCCCCTCAAACAGTTTTGCTCCTGTCTCCACTCTCTATTATTCAGCAGATCACGCAAGGTGCCAAGAGCCGTCAGTTCCGTGGCATTGAGAAGATGCCATTTGTGTGTTAAGAAACCTCTTGGCTGATCAACCGGGAAATGCTTCTGCGTATGCCCGGCACGTCTTTTAAAACTTCCCACAAGTTAAAATGTTACGTAAACGGGCAATTTTCTAAGGGGCAGCTGCGCTCTGAACGGAGCAGAAAGATCCACAAAATGTGGGGGAAAGGGGTGAGTGAAATGAACCAGTGAACTTTAGATTACATCAGCAAACTGACGTAAAAACCGAGAAGTATACTGGAGCTCAGAAAGCACACAAAATTAGGGGTGCAGGGTTGCAAGAGCATGCCTTAAATACCCACATTGCTTGTTGCATGAAAGGGATGTGCCAAACAGAGCTTTTAAATCCCAGATCCTCGGGCAAAGATTTTACATCTTACAGTCATAAAAATCACACGCCAGTTTGGTTCACACAACATGAAAACCTGCCGTTGTTTCAGGCTGGTTTGTTCTCAGGACTTCTAAACCCAGAACGGTTTCCTCACTGTGGTTTGTTGGCCGTGCGGAACGACTTCTTGCCAGGTTATCCAGGGGGAGGGACTTAACGGGATGTGAGAACCCAAAACAGTGGCTTGTGTGTGGTTTGCTGGAAAGAGCTTAGTGCAGGTGTGAAGCTGAGGGGGTTGCCTCTTTGAGCAGATTTATGCAAATGAAACTTTAAAATATGGGGATTGTGCAAATTCACAGTAACTGCTGAACCCAAGGTAATTCAGGGTCGCAGAGGCCTATGGGACACTTGCCAGTGGGGGAATTAAGGGGGAGATAACCCGTGGCAAGTTGCAGAATGCCTGGCCAGAAATAATGCGAGTTAACGGGCTAGCGGTTGAATAACTGGACTTATTTTCAATATGGCTTCAGCGTGACGCACCGACATTTAGTTCTTGTGGCTTCTTTGAGCACCAATGCAAAGGGTTTGGTCCCATGGGATGGTCAAGGGTCCTAATTTACAGAAGTGTTGCCCATCGGAAAAGCTCTCCAGTCCAAGTCCAGCAGAAGGAAGAGGCAGGAAAAAAGGCGCTCTGGGAGTGACCGAGGTATGGCCTCCTGCAACAGCCGGGGGTTGGACTCGATGGCCCTCCCCACTCTTCTGTTCTGTGATTCCATGATCCACATTTAGTGACATTAAGACAGAAGATGAGATGCTCAGATCAGCTGGCCAGAGCAAAGATGAATTGGACCTAATTTCCATTTAAAGGATAATTTCTGGATTTTTCCTTCTCTCTCAAAATTCGCTTGCACAACATTTACGCAACGTGCTTCGCTCTCTTTTGAGGATCGATCGATGAACTCTCTAGGGAACATTCGTGAATTAAATGTTCTTCCAACTCTATGGTCTGAAGGTCATTTAAAAATTATATAACTGTACGGGCAGCCACAGGAAAGTGCAGCTGTCAAGATTTATTTGCGTCAGGTCGCCCAAACGGCAGTGTTCTTGAAGGGCTGCGAGTGTCCACCTGCTAAATTTTGGCCGTTTTGAGGCTGGTGGTTCGTGTCGGCGGTTTCTGTCACACAGAGGTGTATTGCTGAAGAGCGACACCGAGAAGCAAAGGAAATTCATTCGGTCGCCGCACCGTATTTCGGCTGCTATCGGAGCCAGGCCTCTCCCCGTCCCTGGCTCTGTTCACCGATCGGCTTCTCAGCTTTTTCAGATGAGCGAAGGAAGAATTAAGCATCTGACCTGCTGTTCTGCTTCCGCTCACTCTGCCCCAGATAATAGGGGGCTGAAAAGAAGCCGTGCGGAAGGGCTTCTTGCCAGGTTATCCAGGGGGAGGCCTGTCCTTCTTGCCCCCCAGCTTTGCAGCAAGGGGTAACCACAATGGAAAGAGGGTGAGGAGGCAGGGCAGCTGAGGAGGATGCCGGTGAGGAAGGGGCCCAGGGGGTGTCTGGCCCTCCAAACCCGGTGGCTGCCCCATGGACAGACCTGACGGGCACAGGGTGACGTGCCCTCTTGGCTTCGTGGCTCCGGAGGCTCCACTTTGCCCCCAAGCTCTACTTGCGGGACTGACGGGGAAGGAAAAGTGAGTCAAGCTGAGCTGCTTGGAACTCGCTGCTCTCCGGCTCGAGTCCGACTTCCGCCGCTTGGGAGCGGCCCAAAAGCGGTCGACCATTTTCTTTCTCGGGAACTACGGCCAAAGTCCAGTTATGCAATCCCCGGGTCAGGAAGATGGTGGTTGTTGGCCCGGCCACTCGGAGAGGAATGCTGACGAAGACGTACTGGCTTCCTCGTCACGATGCGCTCGTTGGCGCCGTCTCAAGCGCACTCGGGTGTTCATGTGCGGTGAGGCGCGTTCGGATGCCATGGATCGGCGATTTGGACACTGGGTGGAAAATGAAGCATCAGCCATTTTTCCTCCAAGCCTGGGTGGGGGTTTGCGCTTTGTCCTTCCCCCACGACATTCGGCCCAGAAGCTCACAGGGTTATGATTATCAACAGACAAAGGAAAATTACACTCTGCTCATGTGCAAGGGACCCCTCTGCTTTATGATTTGTTTGCACAGGGACCAGACACAGAGAAATAGTGGATTTGGGGTCTATTCCAACTTGAACTCTGGGCCGAGAACTTTAGATTCCAGGAAGAAATGCCTAGTGGTGAGATATTTTGCAAATGTGAGTGTGGACACTCGCGTTAGGGTAAGAAAGCTGACAAATTTCTTTGCAACAGAGGGGTTGCTGGGAGGTGAACTCTGGAGCTGAGGCAGGCAATTTGAAAGCAAAATGTGCGTGCCAGTGTGCTCCTTTATTAGGAAAAGCAGTGTTGTCTAGTGGTTAGGAGGCCGGAGTGGCACTGAACCAACCTTGCAAGGTTATTATGATGATAAAACAGGGCAAAGGAAGACCGTCTAAAAAGCACTGAGCTTCTTGGAGGAAAAATGGGATGGATATAAGTGCAATGCTCATGTTTAAAAGATATTGTCGGGACAAATTTATTCTCTCTAAAAATGTCTTAGATCTGCTGGCAGAATGAACACGAACTGCTATTCTTATATTTCATTGGTACCTCACTTTTCTTCCTCTTGTAAGGAACTCAGGGCAGCCAAGAAGTTTCTCCTGCTCTGTTTGATCCCAGAGGCACCCTGACAGTTTTGTGGCTGAGTGGAACTCGAACCCAGATCTCCAACTCAAATCCCCAAACCCCACTGGCTCTGGGCTGGATTGCAAAGCAGGTTTGGGGGCCCAGACCAACTCTCGCCCCCGCCAGGTGTGGACCTGACCACGCAGCCCTTGGCGACAGACCAAAAGCATTTCTGCTCCCTCATTTATTCCCACACGGTCCTCCAACTGTCGATGGGGATCCCCAAGCACAGCATGAAAACAAGAGCATCTCCCTACCCATGTTCCCCAGCAACCGGCACAGAGGGACCCAATGACTGAGCTAATAATAGCCATTTGGACTAGTGGCCTCTCAGGCTGCAGGGGAAGCGGATGGCCATGGGGCGGTGTATCCACTCCGGGTTTTAGTCCCATAGGACTGGATCTGTATTGGGCTTTTGGCCGAGCACGCTGGATGGCCCCTGCAAGTTTAAAGAGGCCGTCTATCCACGCACCCCCTTCTTCACATCCGCAGCGCCCCGTTTGGGATGACATACACCGCCCCATAGCTCTGACCACTGCTCTTGCCAGCTCACTTTTAATAAATCGATCAGGAGGTGTTGCGACTGGAAACAGGGCAACACTGAACCGAGCAAGCAGGGCCTGCGACGGAAAGCTGCAGCGGGGACTCAGGTGTCTGCGTGTTCGTTTGTTTGTCTCGGTTTATTATGCTTTTCATCTACCCAATAACCAACCTTCTCCGACTGGATTGCAAACAGGCCGGGCAGCATCCTATCACCCTTGCCTTTGATGCACGTAAACCCGCAAATTAGAGGACCGCCAGTGTCTTCTGCCCCAGAAGAGGCTCGGTGGGGGCCTCTGTCTTGCAGGAATGGGGCAGGGATGCCCATTTAAATTGGCAAAAGCCTTTGTGGGCTTCATGCAGTTCTGCTCGCTTCCTAAGTGAGAACCAAGCCTGAGAAGACATCTGACACAACATCGGACACGCACAAGAGGGCCAGATTCCAGGAAGGAGCATCACGGCCCCGGCCCCCTCCCCTCCCCTCCCCACTGCCCACCGTGCCCCCTTTCCCCCTTCCAGCAACAAGCTGGACATCAGAAATCAAAAGAGCAATAATGAAAAGACCAAGTCTACTTTCGGGCCTTAAAACATCGGGTTTTAATGGGCTCGCGTTAAGCCGATGCATCGGAACGCCAGCTGGACAGAGGCTCGCAGGAAAATCCGCTCCCGGACCGGAGACCCTTGGCATGTCTCTCCGAGGGTCCGAGCCGACGGGCAAGAGGAGGGGCTACAAAACAGGGGCGGGGTTTCAGCATCTGGATTTCCGAGAGCAACTGGGACCCCCTTCGAGGCATCAAACGCCTCCATCTCCCAGCCCTGTAACTTAACCTTGTTGTTCCATAACAAGCAAGAAAGCAAAACAAGAGGGATCGGGGGTGGGAAGAGGAGACGCTGCCGAAGGAAGGATGCAAGGGAAGCGCTTTCGAGACCAGGGGGAAGAGAGAGAGAGGAAACAATTCGCCTTGCCTTGCATTCTCTCCCCGCGGTCGCCAAACCGCCGCCAAGAGCAACAGCAAAGCTGTGGCGTTTGTTATTTGCTTCGGGGCTTCGCTGAGAACAATCAATCCATGTTTTTCTGCCCCGGATGGGGGCTCTTTTGAAGGCCCAGGGAGGTGGGGAGATGCGGGCAGCTAACCTGCGATTGTGGAAAACAGATCTGCCGTCCGGGGTGAGGCGACAGGGCCAGCCTCCAGCAAGCACCCTCGGGTTTGCCCAGGCCTCCTTTCGATTATTATTTCTCCGAGAGGCACCGGAGGCTGGTCCCGACGGCCACCCTGTCCCCCGTGCAGGGGCTCAAGCTCAGAAGCGAAACCGATGGCTTGGTCCAGCCACTGGCGTAGGGCACTGCCAACGTGGGACAGCTGGGGCTGAGCAAGAAGGCCCCCCCAGGGGAATTTTCCGACAGGTTTTCTGAAGCCAGCCTGGCAAGGCAGCCGGGAATGGCATCCGTGCCAGATCCAGGTTTCGGTGAGCCCTTGGCCAGACACCCAAGTGAGAGGCAGGCGGGGCTTCGGCATGGAAGAGGAGAACCAGTGACCAGTCCCGGGGCCGCTGCGGTGCACTGCCCCATCTGCCCCAGTTGTGCTGGCACGGACTAGCAGCAGCCCTCCCACTTTTCAGGGAGGGTTTTTCAGCTCTCCTGGGAAAGACTGAGGACTGATCCAGGGCCTTCCGCACTCCAGGCAGCCGCTGTCCCGGGAAGCCGCGAACGCCCCCCGTGAGTTGCCGTTCAGGGCAGTGACTTGGGGTGTTTTTAAGAAAGGCACCGTGGGAGACGGGCAGCCCCGAATGAGGTGGGGCAGCCCTGTAGCTCTGCCCATTCTGGACATGGGAAACGGCTCTCTGCTCCTGGCTGAGCACGGCCAGCACAGACTGGCAGCAGTTTGCGGGTCACAGAGAGAAGACCTGGAGCTGCCAGGATTAAATCAGGGACATTTCTGTATCCTTCAGTTCCTGCCCTTCCCTGTGCGAAGAGGACAGCGAGGACCCTGGCGCCTGGCCACTCTGGCCAGCGATGGAAGGACCCCCTCGGCTGCAGGCTAATTCACGGGGTGCAGAACAGGCCGTGCGGAACAGGGGTCTTTCTTTCCTCTGCCAGGGTTGCTGCCTCCCCAGCATCCGCCGCCCGAGGCCTCACTGCCTCACAGTAGGGCTGGCCCTGCCTGCAGCCGAAAGCTCAGTCGACTCACGGAGATGGTGATGCAAACGAGATAAAACGCAGGCACAACGCAACCCTCGAAGAAACAAAATACACACATATGCCCCCCCCCCAGCCGCCACCTTCCCCAAAACCAGGAGAATTTGCCCCGTCAATGCATGGGATCCTGCGGGACCCCTCTCCGAAATGTCCCACAATGCACAGCGTGATGGCCTCTTTCCAAAGCATCCCTTTTGCCTTGTCGATGGAGAGCCGAACATCCCCAAAGGAGAGTCCATGGGCTTGGGCCCCTCTTCTCCTTAGATGGAGATCTTTCCCGTTCCGGGCTTGGTGGGGAGAAGCAGAGTCTGCGTCTGCGGCTGCTCCAGGAGCTTCGCATCCTTCCAGCGCTGCGATCTGAGTGGGACACAAGAGCCACTTTTCCGTCAGGATGGGAGCCCGGCCTGCAGTTGGCCAGCTCAAGTTTCCCCGACCCACATCCCTGGGGAGAAGCACGTCCTTCCATGCTCACCTGTTCTCTACCTGCTGAATCGTCTCCAGCAGAGGGAGGTTGCGGGTTTCGGGCAGGAAGGCAGCGGCCAGCCCAGACACGACTGGAGCAGTGCCGTAGATCACAGGCGGCAGGAAAGGAATGTACTCGCTGGACATCTTCACCACGGGGGCCATCATGCCCCCCAAGCGGGCCATGGTGTTGCTCAGACCCATGCCGGTTTGCCTGTGAGCCAAGACGTCGAGCAAAAGAATGGAGCATCCTTGGAGGACCCAGAGAAGGAACAATCCCCCCGACACACATGGGCAGAAATAACTGCATCTCTTTGGCTTGGAGCGGGTGCGGGGAGATCTTGTGTTTTTGTCCCTGCCACTTTGGTTAGGCCTTCCCATCAAGCAGACCCAAGAATTTCCCCGAAATTGAATCCAGTCCTCAGTCCTCAGATGGGTTTCCCATCCACAGAGTTGGATGACATCCCAACTGCAGACTGGGCCCTCTCGGCCTGACCCTAACCTCTTCCGCCAAAGCGCTCCCAAAGAGGCGTTGGACCCCCTGGCCCCGCTCCTGCCCTCTTACCGAAGCACGGTCGGGTAGAGTTCTCCGGTGTATAAATAGATGCAATTGAATGAGGCGCCCAAGCAACCCTTCCCGAAGACGGCGAGGACGGTGCGCACCGTCAGCATGTCTGGGGCAAGAGAAAGCGCCCCCTGTGAGTGATTCCCCTCCCTGCCTCACCGAGGAAACGCGTCTGCTCTGAGTCCCACCGGGCTGCCCCACCCCATCTTTCGCCTTGCTCTCGGGGGCAGGATGGAGCTGTGAGTGCCGTTCCTTAGGAGCCCGCGTGAGGAGCCTGGATCAGGGCTGGCGCCAGTGGTCAGCTGGGTGGGGAAGTTGCCAAGGGCCCACACCCCAGTAGGGGCCCCTAGGGGGCAGTCTGTCCCAAGAGTTCTCCAAAAGCTGGGGCCAGTGCTAAGCTAGGCACAGAAACGTCTGACGCTGCTCTCTTCAGCTCGTGGCCCATCCGAGTGCGTCAACGCCGAAATTAAGGAGCCCATCCTCGGCCAGAGAGCCCAATCCAGCCTTCCAGACTGACCCTCTGGAGAGCCCTAGAGGGACAGGGTCCCCTTCCCACAGCCCCTGATTGCGTGGGGCTTCCTGGCTTGTGTTGGTGTGCATTTTCCCACCACGGCATTCTGAGAGTGCTCGCGCCCCTTGTGAGGCGCCGCTGACGGAAAGGAGGCCCTTTCAGGTCGACGAGGTGGAGCAAAATGCCTGCCCAGAGAGCACCTGCTGCAGGTCCGGGTGGACCGTACTGGTCTAGACGGGACCCACGATCTGAGCCCGTTTGAAGCAGCTTCTGACCTTCTGACTAGCCTAGTGCCCTCTGGATGCTGCTGGACTACAGCACCCATAATCCCTGTCCATTGGCCAGGGCTGATGTGAGTTGCAGCTGGAGAATGGGAGGAGGAAGGGACCCCCAGCTGCTGGCTGGAGGAACACTGGGACTTGATGTTCTCTTGGGGTTCTCCAGCCACCCTCGCAGTGAGCTGTCCGTGGTGCTGAGCATGGTCGCCGGTCGCTCTCCACGACCAGCCGACCTCAGCCTCGTGCCCTTGAGAGGTCTTGCACTACAACGCACGGGGATTCTGGGGGTTGTAGTCCAACCATCGGGGCGCCACCAGGTTGACCATCCAAGGCAACCTAACTCCCCGCATGTCGTTCCACCAAGGACTGGACCTGCTTGAGCAAAAGCCCAAGAGACCCGGGTCCAAGTCCCTGCTCAGCCTTGGGCCAATCACAGACTCTCAGTCTGCCCTACCTCACAGGGTTGTTGCTCTGAGGGGTGGAGCTATGGAAGCCACCTTGAGTCCTAACAAGAGGGGAAAAGGCAGGATATAAAGTCCAAGATGGTGGTGGTGGTGGTACTGGTGCACACCGCGGGGCTTTGGGTCAGCAATTGACTCCAGACTTAATCTACCCCACAGAGGGTTCTTCCGAGGATCAAAAGGAGAGGAGAGGGTCGTGCAGTGCTGCCTTGGAAGGGGAAAAAGTGCGGTATAAATGCACATATGAAAAATCTACCCATCTGCTCAGAGAAGGAAATGCATCATTTTTAAAAGAACCGATCCATCGATCAACCGATCAGTAAGGCTGGAAAGCCATCCCACCTTGAGGAATGAAGATGTTGGTCAAGATGGTCATGCCGGCCAGGCCGAGCATGACGGCTTGGGTGAACCGGCGGCCGATGTAACTGATGGTGAGCACCGAGATGAACTTGGCCGGGAAGTCAACGGCTCCAAACACCAGCAAAACCAAGTAGATGTTGCTCCCGAAATTCTGCAGGTCCATGATCAGCCCATAATAAGCAAAGCTGGTGGAGAACCTGGGTATGGAAGATACGCCCCATCCACCCGGTGTCACACAGACAATGGGCAAATTGGTTTTCCACTGCTTTGGTTTTCTAAATTGGTTTTCTTCTGCTTTGTGAGGGCAGGAAGAGAACCCGGTACGGAGATTTCGACCAAACTTTTGGAAGAAGAAAAAGAGCTCACAAAATGAGCAAACTAGAATGGACCCCGTGAGTTTGCTTCTCTCCTCCAAGACCAGGGATGTCTCTTCCCCTGTGTATGTTGAAGGACGCTAAGGAGATTGTGGATCAGCATTCACCGAGTTTAGCTTTATTATTTAAATCCTAAGCAAATTAAGCAATTTCAATGTGGCCCATCTGCAGGGATGGAACGGTATATTCTGGAAGGGTTGTGGCTGGCTGGTTTCCTCCCAGCCTGAACAGGAGCACCTGGGGCACTGCGATGTTTTCATTTTATTCTACTCGGTTTTGTTTTACTTCTCTCACTTATCTCCCTGTTTCTACATCTGATTGAATTTCAGGCAGTGGATAAAATGGACTGTATTTCATGAAAGTTCATGAGATGATAAACTTACAATGTCAGGCGTGAGGCTTGACTTTTTCTAAAATCACATTGAAAATGCTTCCATTCTGCCCTTATCCAACGTAATTTGGATAAATATGCATGTGTTAATTCCTTTCTTTTGAGGCTGCAAAGCACCCCCACTTCCAAAAAAAAAATGCAAATATGGAATCAAAGTGCTGGCAAAGTAGGCCATGAAGGGGAGGGGAGAAAGTGTGCAAACTTTTGGAATTCCACCACTGAAAGACCAGAGGCCCTTTAACATGTTTTCATGTATTTCTCCATAACCATGAGGACTAGAGCCTTTCTCCGTGATTTACGACAGCAGTGTGGCTGTGGATGAAGCAATGCCAGCAACTTCAGCCCAACGGGAGAATGCACTCGATGTGCAATCCAGACCCCCGGGGCCTCCCCGCTCTCTCCAGCTACAACTCACCACACAAGGGACACGCAGCAAGAGATGCGGCGCATGGTCGGCGTCCGCACCAGGTCAAGGATGGAATAGCTCGACTTCATGGATGCCATCTCTTCCTTCATCTTGGATCTCAAGAACTGGAGGGGGGAAAGGAGGAGATGCTATGAAGAGACAGCGAGAGGAATTACCCATTTCTGAAGTCCTATCACCCCACAATCCTCTGAACGCGGAGATTTTAGTACTTCGTATGGCCAGTGTGATCCCCCCACAACCCCCATGGATCCTTTTGGGACTGTTGCGAAGGTCAGTCCTTGGGCTTTAGAGTCCCTTGGGGTTGGGACTCCGAAGAATCCTACAACATTGATGTGGGACGTGTCACCAACGTGGACGGCTCAGACCATGCGAGGGCAGGACAAGTCATCACCGGTTCCGGCCTGGAATTTCCCCGTCTCTGCCCAGACGCATAAGCAGGCAGGGTTCATACAACACAATAACCCAAGGCTGGCTTGTTGGCTTGTCTGAACCCTGCCACATGGTTTGCTAACCAAGTTTTACTTGTGTGAACTCAGTTACTCTCGCTTAGCCTAGCCTGCCTCACAGGGTGACTGTGAGATAAAAGATGGAGAATCACACGTGTCTGAGCTGCCTCCCGCCGTCCTCGACCTGATGCTCTAAAAACAGGTCAGACTGAGACTCCCATCAGAGCCAGCCAGCATGTGTTTAACTATTTCACAAATGTCTCCACAACCAATGAGGACTAGCGCCTTTCACTGCGATTTTGAAGAACCGCAAGGCTGTGAACAAGGAGCCGCTGGGAACCCATGGGCTGGGGATGCTGCGGGTTGCCGTCTAAGCCATCCGGAAGCCACCAGATGGGAGAAGACTGGATTTCTGTGAGAAGCAAATACCGAACCAACGTTTCCCAGTTTCACCTCCATGTCCAGCGTGTTGGCCGCCTCGCGCTTCCCATTCAGGGCCGCTACCCTCTTGAGCGCCTTCACGGCCTGATCCAGTTTACCGGCTGTCACCAACCAGCGGGCAGATTCAGCGAACCACCTGAGTCCAAGAAAAGCATCGCATTAACACGGGGTCTTTCTTTTTCTTTTTCTTTTTTGCTTAATAGGCTTGGCCAAGCGTGAACAGGCAAGAAAAAGGGATTTGAGAAGCCACGGAAAATAAAGGAGGTTTACATACCAAAGACAGCAAGAAATCGCCCTCTTCCAGCCAACAGGAATATCTTGCTTTTGCTAAGTGGAAGGACTGCATGGACTTGCAAACCCCAATTTTTTAGTTGTCTGGGGAATATGAGCACGTGTGCATTTGTACATTGGTGCAATTGGGCACGAATACAGATTAGTGCACACGTGAATTTGCCAACAAGAACAAAATTCCCCTCGTCCTCAAGCCAGTGATGCCTTCTCCGGCTCTGAATAGTCCCAGGTTGAGTTATAAAACGGAGCCTTTAGAAACACCTCTCTAGAGAATCAAAGAAGTCGAACTGAGTTAGAGGAAATGATTTCTACATTGCACTCTAATCAACATTTTGGTCCTTAGCTGCCCAGTTTGGGCGCTGGTTGGTGGATCGGCTGCCTGACGGATGGATGGATTGCTTCGGGGATTTACCAGGAGTAGAAAAAGAAAACGAAGAAAGGCAGGGAGACAGTGAGCTGCAGCTGCCGCCAGTCCGGGATCAGGTACGCCAGCCCTGCCAGGACGATCTGCCCGGTGGTGTAAGCACAGCCGTTCAAGGTTCCCAGCACGGCTCGCGTCCTGGTGGGTGTCCATTCCACACCTGTAGGGAGGAAGGGGGGAGAAATGCCAGTGTGGTGGGGAGAGAATGAGAGAGAGCGTTCTCTCGGCCCAAGGACAGACCGCCTGCCTGGACCATGGGCCGATTCAGCCACGGGAGACACTCTCTTGGGCGCTCCCACAAAATGGCTGCCATGGGAGGTACGGCGAAGGGGGAGGAAGCTGCCCCAAGGACTGAGTCCAGGGAGGAGGTGGGGCAGAGACGCCGCGCCATGAAGAACCCCGTCAAGTCCAGAGTTCCAGCGCCAACAAAAATCGATTTCACCGCCAGCCCTGTTTTCAGTCAGAAAATATGAGTTGTGGTTAAGCTGGAGGAGGAAGGCCCTTGGCGAGCCCTGAGGAAGGGCCCCGGGGGTGCACTGGTGCCCACAAGCCCCACACTGTGTATCCCGCCCCACCCCATCCCCACGGCATCTTTCCGAGCAAGGGTGTGTGACCCCTGCCAGGCCGACAGAGACGTTCTCGGGCGCCTCCTGGAGGCAGGTGGAGCTGAAGGCCAAAGCGGTGGCTAAAGCGCCAGAAAGACCCGCTCTTTTCAGAAAGCGTTCATGCCCTGGCTTGGCTCCACCCGCACGGCCGAGGGGGCCTGGCTGCACCGGGGGGGTGGGGGGGGCGCCGCCGACACTCACACAGGGAGACGCCGTTGAGCACGATGCCCGAGAAGCCCATCCCGGACAGGAAGCGGAAGATGCAATAGACCACGAAGCTGGGGGCGAAGGCCGTGACGGTGCCGGTGACGGCCAGCTGCAGGTAGCACCAGGTGAGGATCAGCCGGCGTCCGAACCTGGGAGGAGGCGGGGGGGAACAGGGGAGCTTGAGAGGCGAAACCAGGACGCGGGTGCCGGGGAGACGGTTTTGGCGGTGCAGAAGGGGAGCGGCTCCAGGCCCCGGCTCATCGCGCCGCCTGAGATGGCGCACAAGCACGGAGCCCTCGGCTTGTTCCGCCTGGACTGGGAGTCGTGCGCTCACCTGTCCGAGAGACCTCCGAAGACGATGCCGCCCAGCAGCACCCCAGCCATGTAGAGGGACTGGGCCATTTGCTTCTGAGTCCGTGCCGAGCAAACCAGGTCCCACTGCAGGGGGAGCGGAGAGAGAAACCAAAGCCGAGCTGAAAAGGCCCGGGGCCTTGCGTGGATTCTTCGTGCCATGGGCAAACCCACGGGGAGCAGGCGCTCGTCCTCTTATTTATTTATTAGATTTATATCCCACCCCATTCGCCAAACAGGCTCTCCAGCCGCCTGGAAAGACACCGTGAGGCAAAGTGCATTGAAACAGGCAAACGGTTTGCAAGATCTCGCTCTGCCGGGCAAAGCGGTGCAGGAAAACACAAGCATCCAGCGAAATTTGCACTCCAGGTGCAAACTCGCCTCTCTTGAGGCCAAGCTGCCCTAGGAAAGGCCTTGCTGGATGGAATGTTTCCCTGGCCTGTTCCAATCCATATTCAGGTAATACAGGTAAGTTCCGACAGAAACCTTCCTGCATTGATTCACAGTCAGCAGAGTCCTGCTTTCTCCCGTGGCTTCAGGTTTGGGTTGTGGGGGGGTGCACTCCATTTCATGGTCCATTTTTCTCCCTCCAAGGGCCAAATACAAGCTCAGAAAGGGCAGCCCATGTGCTTCCTTCTGGGCTAATTGGAAGGGGTGCATTTGGGTTTATACAAAGAAAACGGTAAATAGCAGGTAGAAGTAGCTGGAATGGGGAGACGTTTACTGCCATCCATTAGCCAGCGTGCTAGAAGAACTAAACAGTAGGACCACTTCTGTGGACATCATACAACTAAGTACGAGCCTGAGCAGGGAACTTCACCCCAACCTGCCGGAGGAAGAGAAGAGCAGTGCAAACGTTTAAGAATTGTGCAGATGAAATGAAAGAAAAGGAGAGGTGAGAAGCCGAAAGCACGAAGCACGAAGCAAAAAAGCAGGGACAGGATGAGACTGGATGGGACAAGAAAGAGGAGAGGAGAGGAGAGGAGAAGGACAAGAAAAAGGAGAAGGGAAGGGAAGGGAGGCCAAGCTCATGTGGACAGCCTAAACTGGAGGCTGGAAAAAAGGGAATGCTGTAGAGAAGCGGGAATGGTTAGATGCATCCATCTCTGCTTAGCAGGGCAGGAAACGAGCAAAGAGCTGCCTCACTTCGGTGACAACCGTGCTACGGAAGACGCTCCTGTCGTACAGCCATCCCTCGCGGCAGGGCTCCGTCGCCGCCTCCAGCGCAGGGCCGGGAACGCCGGTCCCGTTCAAGAGGGTGGCGTTCAGCAGCTGCCACTGATAGTCCACGAAGCGGCGGCATCGCTGCGGCCTTTGCTTCTCATCCAGAGGGATGGCGACGCGGAGGAGGTCTTCCGGTGCCAGGCTGCGATTCCCGGGAGTGGCATTGTGGTGGAAAGCACAGTGGTGGTCCGGCGTGGCCGCAGTGAAGTTCTGCAGCACCATGTGGCTGGCCATCATGAAGACCGGGAGGGAGAGCAGCGTCACGTAGACTGCCTGGAAGCGCCCCATGCTGCCGACGAGTTCCAGGACCTCGGCAAAGCCCATGGCGAGCAACACGGGCGGCTCGGGGCCGTGCCACGCAAGCAGCTTAGGTGGGTGGAAACGGAGCTGTTGGACGCTTCTGGCCACGATCTACCAACAGCCTCCAGCGACCCCCAGATGTTTGGACTCCGTGACGGGATGAGCCATCCGTGGGTTTCCAGGAGAGCTCTGTGGAGGTTCCCTAAAGGCCGGGAAACTGAGAAACTTCCCAGGATTGCTAGAGGGGGGCTCTCAGGCCTGGTCTGGCACAGCCGCTTTCGTCTCCTTGTCTGGGTGATGGACACATCCCCGCATGGGGAGCTTTTGTGGTTATGGGGCCCCTTTTGAGAGAGCGTCCCCTCCCTGGACAGGGAACGGGGTCACGAGGGGCCTTGTTCCACCCCCCTGCTTTTTCTCATCCTGCCAGCAACTAGCTGGGACTTGATCACCTCTGGGTGAGATATTTATAAAGACCAGAGCCTTCCTCTTGGTTAAAGTGTGACAGCAGGTCGGGCCAAGGGTATCAATGGGGGAAAAGGCAGGAAATGTCTCACATTACTTTCAGCACAGAGGGGACCTTGGCCAGAGAATGGGCTTTTTGTGACCCACGGTTCATGCTTCTAAATGCAATATTCACACAACCGCGTTAGGAATTAACTTGGCGTTGGGACCGGTCCAGCCTGTCCTGAGTGCAGGTGGAAGGCTCTCGTGAACCCCAGTAATGTTGGGGGATCGCCGGGCATTATCCACACCCTTGTCGGCTTTCTGACAGATGCGGCTGTCCTACCACAACCCCAGAAACATGCTTCAAAATAATCTCTGTCCAAACTTGCAGAGCTTTCCCTGGGATGTAACATTTTGCCTCCTTGCCTTGGGTCAGCGTGAAATTAATAAATGGAGATAGAGGTACACAGGAAGACAGACTTCACCGTCAAGGCAGAAGCGGGGGAGTGGCGTTGGTGTGCTGGGTACTTAGCCAAATGTTTTCTCAACTCGCTTAGAAAACCATTCTCTGGTGCCTCAACAGAGGAGAACTTCCCGGTGCTAATGTAAGCCGTCCCAAGGCTATGCGATGGGACAACATACAAATGCTCTAAAGATAGACAGACAGACAGACAGACAGACAGACAGACGGATGCCAGGCGCAGAAAGGTGCTGGCCCAAATTCAGGCTGGCCACGGCCCATTTGGGGATTCTGCCCAGTTCGAATATGGCTCGCTGCAGCCCCCTGGGTATAATTGCGAAAGACCTCAGACTCAGTGTTTGGATCGAAAGCAGCGCTGGTGAATTTGTTGGTGTGCATTGCCTGAAGATGATGTGAGTAAGAGGGGTGTTGGACCTCTTCACTCCAAGGGCTGAATTTTTGGAAATTTTTGGGAGACACCTTCCAGAGACGGGCAGGAGCAAAGGCAGTGTACACGAGGCCGAAAGTGGCCAACGGTTTTATTTTTTATTTATTTATTTATTTATTTATTTATTAAAACATTTTTATGCCGCCCCATTCGCCGAAGCCTCGGGGCGGCTTACAACAAATGAGAATCTCACCAGCCACATTCAATAATTCCCATAATACTACTGCGTATCTGTTCAAGCTGAGGAACCTGCCAGAAAAATGAAGGGGTACTTCAACACCATCACCCCAAACTTGACCGAATAAGGACTTAAAACCCAGACTTAGCACTTAAAACCCAGACTTTTAAGTGCTAAGCACTCAAGCCCCGAGGTCCGGATGGAGGGATCCGTCCCTTCTGTCTCCTTCTGCACCCGAACCGTTAAATCTCCATTTTGCCCTGAATATGGTGAACTTTACAGATTTGGGTGAATTATTTTCTAATATAAGAGAAGTTTCCATTTGGATTTGACTCTTCACATGGGCAAAGGCTTCTGCCCTGCCTTGAGAGCACAACTTTGATTTATACTGCGCTTTAACTGGCTACGCTCTGTACCGAGATTGTGTTTCTAAGTGCTAAAGAGAAAAAGAGGGAGGCGGGGGGCTTGGCAATGCTAGCCGTGGTTGCCTCCGCCACTTTCTCTCGCTCATGGCTTGGGGCAGTCCTTCCTTGACCACTGATATGGTATAGCCCAGCTCATGGGGAACTACTAAGCTACTGTTCTCCGTCGCCCACTGCTCCCCGTTTGATTGCGGTTAAAAAGCGAGCCTCTTCATTAGCATTGTGCGACAGTTTATTTAAAATATTTAGGCACCGCAGTTCTTCAGCCACGCCAGGGCAATGCCTGCCTCTTGTTGAGAACAGCCATCGGAATATAAAAACGCTCAGTCTAATGGGAAACCCAGAAAAGCGAGGCATTAAAAACAGCACGTGCTTCGTCAGAGGACTGTGGCAAAGGGTTCTAGTCCTTTCCCAGTGATGAAGTCACGGGCTCCGTTACTCCCTCTCGGCCTAACCTACCCCGCTGGGTTGTTGTGTGGATAAGACTGAGAGGTGGATTATGTAAGCTGCTTTGATTTCCTTGAAGCAGGTGAGATAAAAATGTAATAAATAAATAATACTACTATTGGTAGGAATAATGAGACAACACAAGAACTGAGTCCAGGGAAGGCCGAATACGTCATGCTTTATTGGGATATGAATTCATAGTCCATGCTCACACTCTGATTTGCCCAGATCGGCTTCTTTGAGATTGTTTCGCCAATGAGCGAAGGTAGAAACACAATGCAAACTGAGGCGGCCTGTGATCATGATCGCCCTGATCCGCTTTCCAGGTCGCCATAGGGGAGCAAAAATTCCCCGGAAGGGAGAGCGTGGGCTGGCGAAGGAGAGATCAAGGCAGCCCTCCGGGGGGGAAATTCAGTTCTTTGACTAACCTGTTACAGGACTTATAAACTACTTTTGCTCATAGGAAGGCAATACCAAATTTCTCAGGGTAGTAAATTTCATGGACGTATTTTCATGTAGTCAATACACAACGAGGTGGAATAGCAAACACCCTAGAAGACAGAATGAAGATCCAGGGTGATCTTGATAAACTTGAACACTGGGCCCAAAGCAACAGAAGGGGACGAGGGCCAAGTTCTCCACCTGGGAAAAAGGAACCAAAGGCATCGATACAAGATGGGGAATACAGAATGGAAAAAGAAAAGGACCTTGGAGTGATTGTGGACAGCTGGCTAAACATGAGCCAACAATGTGACGCGGCTACAAAGAGGACAAATGCTATTTTGGGATGCATTGGTAGAAGTATTACTTCCAAATCATGAGAAGTAGTAGTTCCCTTATGCTCCTCACTGGTCAGACCCCATCTGGAATACCGTGTCCAGTTCTGGGCACCAAGATTTAAGGAAGGTGCAGAAAAATTAGAAAGGGCCCAGAGGAGGGCAACAAAAATGATCCAGGGTTTGGAAACACTGCCCTGTGAGGAGAGGCGGAGGGAACTGGGCATGTTCAGCCTTGGGAAGGAAAGACTGAGGGGGACATGATATCCCTCTATAAGCCCCTCAAAGGCTGCCACAAAGAGGGAGGTCAAGATCTCTTCTTGCTGGTACCGGAGTGGAGGACACGGAGTAATCCGTTCAAGTTGCGACACCCCAGATTCAGGTGAATTATCAGGAAAAGTTCCCTCACTGTCAGAGCAAATTCTCCCACACTGGAGACATTCAAAGTGACGCTGGATGGACATCTTAGTGGGTTAGTGTAAATGGGTGTCCTGCAACAGCAGGGAGCCTGCCCAGGGCCTTTGCGGTCTCTTCCAACTGTGCTATTCCACTATTCTTTGAAAATCTGATAGACACAACATAGCTCAGGTGCTTAAGCAGGGTGAGTCACCGGCCTCCCAAATTCAAAAGGTAGGTAGATTGCAAGGTGGGAAAAGCTAATGCAGGATGGGTAGAAGGTAGATCTCCAGACATTTGGGACTACGTCTCCCAAAAGCCCTTGCTGGCTTAGCCCGCGGCCAGAAATGCAGGCAGCTCAGGGCCAAAGTGCCCAGACATCAGCTTTCTGCCCACCCCGTGCTGAATAATATGCTAGAGAGAACCAGTGGCGACTAGCTGCGTTTCTAGCAACAAAATTGCTGCAGGCTGCGGGGTCACGTCCAGAAAAAGCAGCGTCGCCCTTAATTGCAACGGGGTCCCGTCCTGGGGTGAGGGAAAGCACTTGGTGCGTGTTCAGACACCCTATGCATCTCCAGAGAAAGGCTTGGCTCCACTTAAGCCCTGCCTGTTCCCCATCCCCGGGACCAGGGCCTGAGAAGGGCAGGGGAGCGAAGACAAGTACAGAAGGGTGCTCTCGTTCTCTTTTAACGTGCGTTCAAAAAGTCTAGATCCCCTTAAACCTTCACAGTGTCTCCCCGGGGATGAGTGTGGGGGGAAAGTGGAGATCAGCAGGTTTCCTTGAACAAGGTCTTATCCTGGCTCTGAAGCAGGACTTTCTCCTGGGCGGCTTCTTCCGTGTTCTTCTTTCTGGCCCTTTTCAGAAAAAAGGAAAGACGAGTTGGCCAAAAGGAATTCTGCCACCGCCGGCTCCCTCCGTGCAAGTCCTCATTAAATGCCCAGGTGGGTGGGTGGTGTCTCTTTAGGACTGGGGGCTGTTTAAGGGTTGGATTTCAAGAAGGAGGGGGCCGCATTCCCGGGCCGGGCACAGCCGGAGGCAAAGGAGGCAAAACAACGAAAAATGCACCGGGAAACCCACCCACCACTCAAGGGCCTGGGGAGAGAAGAGACCCCGTGTCTCTTCTTTAAGGGCAAAAGCCAAAAGAGGCTTCTGAACTTGGCATTTTCTCTGGGACAAGTACCAGGAGCAACCCAGGGAGGCCCTGGCAGCTGCGGGCATAGCCCCTGCCCATCTCGTGGCCCAAAGTACCCCCAGGGAGATAATTCGGCGTCAGTCCACGCCGTAAGCGAAGGCGCAGAGAATGTCCTTTACACACAGGTCCCCAGTCGCTTTTATCTTCCTCGGGGACTCCCCAAGCGGTCACGAGAAGAGCCTCCCTTCCCAACCCTGAACGCATGTTCCCGCTGCCGTGCCTCCAGTGGGGCCAATGCGCCGATGCGGACCTGCCCTGGGACCCCCACAAGCAGGAAGACCAGCCTGGGGCGGGAAAGAAGGGGGCACGGCCCCTTTGGCATCCCCGGGGGGCGGGTCCCCCCCATGGGCCGAGGAGCTGCTGACGCCCCATCCTCCCCATGGCACACCGCCCACCTGTTCTCCACGTCCTCAATGGTATCAGGCAGCGGGACGTTGAGGGTTTCCGGCAGAAAGCAAGCGGCAATGCCGGAGAGGATGGGGACCGCCCCGTACAGGATCGCAGGCAGGGGGGTGTAGTAGTCCTCCGTCATCACCGCCAGGGGCGCGACGATGCCGCCCACCCGGGCCATGGTGCTGCCGAAGCCCAAGCCGGTCTGCCTGGGGAAGCGGAGACAGTGGGGCAGAAAAGGCGCCTCAGGGCAAGCGCTGCCCCCAGCCCTCCCGCTGCAGCTTCCCCCGGCCCTGCGCCCTTCCGACCGGTGGGGTTCCCGCTCCCATGATCCCCAGCTAGCATGGCCGTTGGCTGTGCCAGGGAGGGCCTTGGATGCCGGAGTCCAAGAGGTCTGAAAACAGCAGCCCGTGTGGCGCAGCGGGAGAATGTTGGACCGGGACGCTCAGGACCCGGGTTCGAGTCCTCACTCAGCCAGGAAACACTTTTGGTCGGCCTGGGGTTCTCAGCCCAGCCTACCTCACGGGGTTGTTGTGAGGATAAAATGGAGACGGAGGGCCTTGCACTGAGATTGGGGGTGGGTGCTTGGGTGCATGTGTCTCCCCCTGCCCCCAAAGGGTCTCAATTATAATTTATCAGTTATGATCACACAGCATTTAAAGCTCACGTTCTTCCTTTTGTGAGAAGCCCAAGGCAACCTAGTGCCAATTTTCGTCCTCACAACAACACCCCTGTGAGGCAGGCCAGGCTGAGAGCTAGTGAGCAACCCAGATCACCGAAGGTGCTGCTTAAGGGCCCATCTTGCTCCCAGGAAATCACAAAAGCCGGATGCTGCATACATCTGCCCGGTAGGCCCTGCGTGAGAGATTTGGCAGCCAGAGGCTGAAAAGGAAACTAATTCCCTGACCCAGTCCAAATGAGCATCCTCCTTTTTGGAAGGGTGTGTGTCTTCCTTCCTTCCTTCCTTCCTTCCTTCCTTCCTTCCTTCCTTCCTTCCTCCCTTCCCTTCCCTTCCCTTCCCTTCCCTTCCCCTCCCTTCCCCTCCATCCACCCTTCCTTCCTTCCTTCCTTCCTTCCTTCCTTCCTTCCTTCCAGCCCTTCCAAAGCAGTGCCCTGACCCAGAGAGCTTGGACTATCGGGCCATCGAGATTTTCGGTGATCCAGCAGAAAAGGGGCTTCCACTGGCCGGTGGACCCCAGGCCATAGCGTGGTTCAGGGGGTCCCATCTCCGAACTTCCCAGCCGCCTCCCCCGCCAGAGAGCAAGTGGGCCCGATCCGCTCCTCACCTGACAGGCGTGGGGTAGAGCTCCGTCGTGAAGAGAAAGACGCAGTTGAAGGCCGCGGCCAAGCACCCCTTCCCGACGACGGCCAGCGCCGTCCGGACAGTCTGCAGCTCTTTGGAGAGGGGAGACCAGGGTTGCCGAGCGGCTGCAGCGCTGCCCTGGGACTCGGGGGACCCGGGCTCGAGGCCTCACCTCCCATGACGCTGCCCGGGTGACTTCAAGCCACGTCTCTGCCTAGCCTACCTCTCAGGGTTGTTGTTGTGGGGATAATACAGGGAGGGGGGAACCTGGTAAGCCACCCAGAATTCCTTGCAAAAGGAATAATGCAATAGTGAAAGCACGGCCTGAACACCAGAGGCTGGTTGACGCTCCCCCACCAGCCTCCTTGGGGGAAGCTTAGAAACCATCGCTCAGCAACCACAGAACGAAGTATCAACAGAGGAAATTTCACATGCTGCAGCCGGTGCTTTTGAAGACAGCTGCACCACTGAAGAAGCGAGTGCCTCTGAGCATGTGCAGAGGTACTTTCTCCTTCGTCACCAGATCTGCCATTGCGTTACTACCACGCTTCCTCATAACAACCAAAGGGAAGATGCCAAGGAATATACTACGAATAAAAGGGGGAATAAAATGGAGGAAGTTAGACGTAATAACCATCCAGGATCAGGGACAGCTGAAATGAAATAGGAAGGGGAGATGCTTGGCGGGCGTGTCGTGAGTGGGGCTGGCTGGAGCCAGGGGTCAGACTAGATGGCCCCGGAGACCCCTTCTGGCTCGCGCTGCTTCTGTGTTTCTGTGCTATTGGAGCCTTCCACCTGGGAGCGGAAGGGGAAAGGTGGGAGCAGATGAGCAAAGCCTCACCTGTGGGCACAAAGATGTTCACAATTATGATGACGCCGGCCGTGAAGAGGAAGGAGGACAGGCTGATCCTCCGGCCGAGGTAGCTCATGGTGATGGTCACAACGACCTTGGCAGGGATATCGATGGCCCCAAAGATCACCTGGATGAGGTAGATGCTAACCCCGAAATTCTGGAGGTTCATGGCCAGCCCGTAGTAGGAGAAGCTGGTGGAGAACCTGCCACACAGACGGAGACGGGGAGGTTCAGGGGACACAAGACCCGTGCGAGGAGCAGGTCTGGAGGAGCTGTTCCGAAGAGCCGCGTGCGAATCCCCAACCAGACAGACACGCAGCACCCAAAACGGTGTGCAGAGGCCCTCCAGGGCACCCAGACGCCCAAATCAGCTCCCTTCCCTTCCCGGAGACGCGCGCGTTGGTCTGGCCCACTCACCACACGACGGAGATGCAGCAGAAGATGCGCCGGATGACCGGCGTGCGCACGAGGTCGCAGATGGTGTACGAAGACTTCGTCGTGGAGAGCTCTTTCTCCATGCTGGACAGCAGAACCTGCCCAAAACCAAGAGAGAAGGTGGGCTATAAAAATGCAGGCGGAGAGTAAGGGCTGCCCTTCCACACTTGCTTCTCAAATTACGGTTTTTTAATGCCATTTTTGCTGCTGGTTTCGTCATGGCTTTTGTTGCGGTTTCTGCGATTTCCCTGATTTGGCCCATAAAAAACTGGATTTTATGTGGCTTTTGATCTTGTCATTCTTGCTTTATTGAGCTGCCCAGGCAGTCCTTGGGCTACCGGGCAGCATGCAATGACAGCAAACAGATAAACGGGCCTCCCGCCCCAGATGCTGCCACCGGTGGGACCAGCCCCTCGTCCGTCCGTACCTCGGGGGTGATGCGTGCACCGGCATCCTCCCGCCCGTTGATCCGCGCCACTCTCTGCAGGACCGCAACGGCTGGGCCGGGCTTCCCAGCCAGGATCAGCCACCGTGCGGACTCGGCAAACCACCTGCACAAAAGACAAGGGACCCCCCCGAGGCGTCACCCACAGGAGCAAGCCACACGCACACCCCACAAAGTTGCGTTTGGGGGCTGGAGGAAACTCTTCGCTTCTCCCTTGCCTGGCTGCTCTTGCACTTGGACTCGGTGTTCCCTGAATCTGAGCATGGTTTTCAGGCACGTGTGTGCCCGGAATAGAGATTCGACACGATTCCAGAGGCTCAGCCAACCCGTATCATGCTGTCTTTTGCGGGAGCAGCTTTTGGCTTTGTGAGCGCTCCCCAGGGACGCCCTCCGAGCAGTTTGCTTCCAATCTTCCTGATGCCAAAGAAAGATGTTTCGCTTTCCTCGGCCTTTTAAATGATGTTGCAGTCAAAAATTATTTCATCTCTGCGGCTTCCATTCTTTTGCCGGCAGTTTCAAGTTGCTTTCTTGCTGTCCAGTTTCTTGCCTCTGTTTTTAAATCGTTGGGGAAGGGCCGTCCCGTTGTCCCAGCACTTTGGGGGTGAATTTGGCAGGAGAGAGAGGAAGGGCTCAGGGTCTGTCTGGCCACTGAACGACCCCTGATCTGCTCTGCTTCCAGAAATAAAACAAGAACTTGGGAATGGAGACATAACAGTATTGTCAACAAGGTCGGCCACAACCGTCCTGCGAGGGTTCAGGAGATAAGCTTTTTTCGGGCTGACCTGGGAATTCTGGGAATCAAACTTCCGGATTTAGAGCACCGCCGAGCATTCCCCCGCAGCCAAAGCATCCCTGGGAAGTGAGGGATGGATTTCGGCCCACGCGACACATACCAGGAGTAGAAGAGGAAGAAATAGAAGGGTGCCGACACGGTGAACTGCAGCCAGCGCCAGTTGCGGATGCTGTACGCCAAACCGGCCAGGAGGATCTGGCCCAGCGTGTACGAAAAGCCGGTGAAGGCGATGGTGATCGTGCGGCTCCGGGTGGGAATCCACTCCACGACTGAAAAGGAAAGGCACGGCTGTGGGACCCTCATCCGCAGAGCCTCGTCCAGGCCTCGGTCTGCCTGGCACCAGGGCTGTGCAACATGGTCCTCGGAGGTGGGTGGTGAGTGCCGGGCCATTCCTGGGCTCAGACACGCACCGGTCCCCAGGCCGAGGGTGCGCACGTGCACAGGCTGGGGGCCACCATGAAACAGGACATGGTGGCCCAGAAAGGCAGAGGGCACCCATGGGCAGGACGTTTCTCATGTGCTAGTTTGTCTATCTTATTTTTGAGATCTTTGAAGCACCCAGGGGAAGATGTGGGGAGGTGGTACTGAGGGGCAGCCCACGAGAAATGAGGCCTGGACTTCTGGGAGACCCTCTGCCCCGCTGGCTCGCCATCCAGGGGCACTTGGAGATAACGGTTGCGTCGGATCTCTTGGCTTTTTGCACACAGGTAAAAAGCCCCCTGCTGCTCCCCCTAGAATCTCCCAGACAGACTTCAGAACATATGCAAAGCAGCACTGGCAAATCTGGGGGCAGTTCTTGCGGGCCTGAAATTTTAAAAATATAGCATTGCACATGGAAAGGGCACAACCCCTGTCCCCAAGATGCAGCCTGCCGTCGGCTCCCCGGCCAGTGAGACGTGCCGGAGTGGTCCAGGTTCTTCTCTCTCGTCCATCCTCATCCACAGAGATGCTCTCTGGGAACCAACAAACAATCCAGAGACCAAAGGGAGCTTTTCCGTATTCTGGGTTTATGTTCTTTCCCACACTGAACTACAGTCCTTCCCTTATGAAAATTCACATTGTGGTGGAAACACCTATTTTGTTATTTCTGTTACTTGGTGAAGAGTTCGCACACCAATGGAATGAGGATAATATTAATTCTGTGGTCATTATCATTTTGATAAATGTCCAGGGCTTGCGATTAGGGCTTTGAGACACTAAAGAAAATTATTTTCCACTAATGCGCCTTGATCAGTTTCAGGAGCTGCCTCGAAACTCAAGCTGTGCATCCAACCTGGAAAGTGAAGCTTTAATAAGTGCACCTGCTTGCGCAGCCGCTCGCTTCCCCTTGCCCCAGGCAGTCTCTTACTCAAGCAGGTGATGCTGAGGCCGAATCCAGAGTGCGCCATGCCCGCCAGGAACCGGAAGATGCAGTAGGACATGAAGTTGGGCGAGATGGCCGCGCACGACCCCATCACGGCCATTTGCAGGAAGGACCAAATGGTCAGCGCTTTGCGGCCAAACCTGCCCGGGGACGGATGCGAGACAAAGCGAGACAGTCACCAGCGAACAGAATTTGCTCAGCGAATCGAGAGTTTTGTAAGCTGCCTTGTGCATGGCATCTCAGGGTGGCTCACTATCATTAACACAACCACGATAAAAAGAGCAGGAAATAACAATTAACCCAAAAGTACAAATTAAACTAGTTAAAAATAGCAATGTTTCCACATCTGCAAGGCCATGCTCTTACATCACGGGGCCCTCTATGCACTGCAGCTTCTATTCTGAGCTTTCCAGGAACTCCCCAACGTGCCGAATTCCAACATCAAAGTAGGTTTACTGCCACAGGGCATCTTGGAGAGCTCTTCTAAAGCTCCGAATTAAAGCTTCAATGGGCGAGGAATCCCACTGAAAGAGGAGAGGCTTGGGTCTCCCCTGAGCATCGGAGATCTAAACCAGGAGCGCCAAGCCAGCCAGGGGTCTCCGATCATGGTATTTCCCACGAAGGCGAATTGCACTGCGGTTCTGTTTCAGGCAGAGAGATTGTTTTCAAAATGGGCATCTCTGTGCCTCTGGAACTCGGTCTGCAGATCGCTGTCCTCGCTGGGGCCATTCCGGAGTGGGCCCTGCTCTGGCACACCCCCAGAGTGCCCCGTCCCCTTCCCACCCCATCCGCTTACCGATCCGCCAGCCTCCCGAGCACCAGGGCCCCGACGAGCACGCCGGCCATGTAGATCGACTGGGCCATCTCCCGCAGCTTGCGCATGTCGCACACCAGGTCCCACTGTCCCGGGAAGAGGAGGTTCGGTCAGCGCAGAGCATCTCGGGGGCCGCAAACAGGCAAGGGCCAGGGGTGGCCAGGTAGCCAGGGGTGTCCAAGCAACCTACTGTTTTTTTCACACTGTGCAATTTTAGGCTACCTTAGCACAAAAACGGCAACCGACAATACAGTGACTTTCAAGGCTTTGCACATTTGCGGGTGGGAGAGCCGCGAGTGCAACCTTTGCTTGGATGCCTCCGAACACCTTGGCACAGAATCCATCCGTGAGCAGACGCTGGAGGGAAAGACACCTGGCTATCCATGAAGCATGGGCAGAGTGCATTTCGCAACGCTGGTGCCTCTCTCTAGGCGGGTGTTTGTGGGCACCGGCTGCTGTGGGGGCACTTGTTGGTGCCCAGCCGTGACAAATTCTGGCACTCGTCCTGATGGCCAGCCTCTGAAGGTCAGCCAAGCCTGGACTTCCCAAGCCAGCTCTCAGCCCTTGAACCTGAGACATCATCCTTCAGAAGAAGTGCTTCTGAGCATGTACAGAGTGCTTTCTGCAGCTCACTGATCCAGCCCAGCTCTTAGGATTAGGTTGAGTGGGCAGAGCTTTCCAGGTAGAAAAAGACTTGACTCTGCAGCTGAGAATTTCTGCGCGCACGCACGCACACACACACACAGGCCCAGGGCTGTCATCGCAAAGTCGCCTCCAAACCTCACGTCGTGAGCAAGCATTTCTAAGCCTGGCGAAGGCCTGGAAGAATCGAGAACAATATTTTTGCACGCTGCAGAAAAAGGGGCGGCTCTTTCCCTTGGGACTGCGGCCAGCAGTCTCTCCCACTGCGTCTGAATTCTCTTCCCAGCGGGTCGTATGCTGAGACCGGGCCGGATCTCCATTCCTGCCTGTTTATCCGTCGGAGGCAGGCGCCCCACGCCGCTCTCCGAGCTTAACCCCGTGCCCTGCTGAATAGTCTTGCCGGCTGCAGGCAAAGATGCCTCTCGGCTTGTGCTGCCCGCTTTGGAACCGGCGTAGGGTTCTTGGGGCTCTGGACCAAGGCAGGATTCTCGGGGAACCCACAAAACTTGCTGGCGCAACACAGTTCTCACAGGCGCTGGTCCAGAGAGCGCCGACGGATGGAGATTTGCGAAGACAGAACAGCGTCTCCCTCTTCGATGCGAAGCCGCAGGAGGAGCGGTGCCGGATCAGACCCGGGGAACTGATCAGAGCAGTGGTCACCCAGCCCCCTGCTCGCCCAGAGGCCCACGAGATGCCCCCATGAGGAACCTCAGGTGGGGCAGGAGCACCCTCTGGCCCATGTTCCCCAGCAGCTGGTGTCCATAGGCAGCCTGCCTCTGGTTCTGGAGGTAGCAAAAAGCCGTGAGACCGAGTAATGATGGGTAGGGCTCTCCTTCAGGAATCTCATTCGTCTTCTGAGCATGTACAGAGTGCTTTCTGCAGCTCACTGCTCCAGCCCAGCTCTGAGGATTAGGATGAGTGGGCAGAGCTTTCCAGGCAGAAAAAGACTTGACTCTGCAGCTGACGCCCTGCATGAACTCCAGGGTCTGCCCCTGCATCGTCATGCGAAGAGGCCCTTCCTTTCATCCGCCCTGCCTCTCCTGCCCTTCAGCCACATGGAGGAACTCACCAAACGCTCATATTCTGGGAGCAGGAGGGAAAGCGGCCCTCTCCGCCTCCACGGCCGGCACCTCCAAGCTCACGTTTTCTCGAAAACAGGCCCAGACGTCGCCACCCGGCCTCACAGGGGAGTCGTTCCGCCCCTGGACCATTTCAGTTGCCCTGCTTTTATAGTTTGGGACTAGCACCAGATCTTGGCCGTGGTGGAATGGAGAACCCATGGCGGAGGGGAGAACATATTCTGCCTCGCTTTTGGCGTGCGGAGCTGGAGGGATGCACGTGCGTTGTGTGTACGGGGACCAAGTACCGGTGGGGCTCAGGGAACACTTGAGAAAAATCCGATTCTATCAATGTTTAGAAAATGGCATCGAAGGTGCCTGACAATCTAAGCGACACAGGGGAATCCGGTGGAGCAAAATCGATGCATAGAAAATCCAGACATATACCCGGCGCAACCTACAGGATGTGCTTACCTTCTACTCAAAGGAGGGACCTTTGCATGAACTCTGATGCGCGCTTGATTTTCCCTGCTTTGCAGGCTACTGTGATATACCTAGGTCGAATCGTGAACATCGCCTCCCTGACTTGACATGAGCCGTAAGCCTGCAGCTTCTCCTTACTGGAGGGGAACAGAGGGAGGCACTCTGCACATGCTCAGAGGCACCTACGCCAACGTCTACTGCTTTCCCTGGCAGCACAGAGCATTCCCAGAGACGCTCAGAGGAAATTTGACATAGCTGCTTTTGCAGGCGAAGGAATAAGCAACCCTCCAAGTTCACCCCCAGTCATGGAATCATACATCTGGAAGGGGCCGGACTCAGTTTCCCCACAGTGCCGTGGCCTGTGGTGACTGCGTGGGCCCCGGCCCCGAACCTCCTGAGTGGCCGTCGGCGCCTCTGGAATCCTCACCTTGCTTGCTCCGCAAAGAGCCAATTGCAAGGGGCTCTGCAGCGCAGGTGTGCCCGGCCCCCCATCCTTTCGGTCCCTACCTGCCCACCTGCCCCTTCCCAACTTCCTCCCACACTTCCCTGAAAACGCCCGCGGCATCTCACCTCCATGACGATGCTGGAAGTATACAAGCTTGTGTCGTACACCCATCCATCAGCACACGGCTCCGTCTCCACCCTGGTCCAGTTTGCCGCAGTGGCGTTCGCGTCAAGAAAGTGCCACTGAGCTTCCACGAAGCGCAGGCACTTCTCCGGCTGCCGTTTGCTGCTCATGGGGACACCGACCCGGAGAAGGTCCCCAGGCGCTAGCAGGCGCGTGCCGTTGGGAGAGCCGCTGCCGTTCTCAGCCAGGCGGATCCGGCAGTGGTGTCCTGGGATGGCAGCGGTGAAGTTCTGGAGGAGGTTGTGGCTGGCCATCAGGAAAACAGGTATGGTAAGAAGTATGGTGTGAATAATCTGGAAACGGCCCATGCCGCCCACTTGCTCCAGGAATTCGGCAAAAGCCATGGCTGTGTGCAGAAGCTTCCTCTGATATGCCTTCACCCCCCTCGGATCCAAAAATCAGTTTTCTGGGCAGTAAAGCAAGACGAAGAGCAGAGAAAGACAAGTGAAAGAGTGTTTGCTTAACAAGCTTGCTGTCTCTTGGAGGATTTCAGGAACGCGGGCTGGACTGCAATGTAGTTTAGAGTTGCAGGACCTTTGGATGCGATGGGGCTTTTGCTTGGGGAACCTGGAGGAAATAAACAAATCAACATTGCTAAGGGGAGTGTCTTCATTCCCTAATAAACAACTTTCAGACAAACTGCAACCTAGTTTTGGAGGGTCAAAACCCATCTCCCCGGGAAGCTGCCACATCTGTGCCAATTTAGCGATCACGCCATGTGTTCTCCAGAAGTGGGGGGGGGGGCTCCCCCACCCCATATGATACTCAGGCCTCTTTCCTACTTGGTGTTTATTCCTGGAAGAGAAATCATTGACACAGAAAAGAAGTTCTACATGTCTTTCTACCTGATTTGTCCAAGATTGTGGAAACCTCAGTGCTCCCCGTTCCAGCCAGGAAAAATTGTCCCGGCTTTATTGGGCCTTTGGATAGATTATTTATGTAAAACAGTAAGCAGATCATTTGGTTAAAGTTTTACTCTTGTTTTAAGGGATTAACCAAAGGTTTTAGAAAGGGAATTGAGTGGGGGAGGGAGGTGGAAAGATGTGGAAGAAAGAGCAGCGAGAGAAAGAAGAAAGCAAGAGATTTGCAACTTCGGTTTGCTTTTCTTTGGGGCTGGGAAGGAGTTGATCCTGCAACCCATCCCTGATTTATATCCCCTCAAAGAAAGGAGGCCTCTTCCAGGCCCCGGTGTCAGAGATGCAGGGCAGGCCTGGTCCAAAGGCCAATGCTTTGCATCGTCAAGGATTCGACGTGGTGGCACCGGAGTTCAAGATCATACGTGCCGGCTCACTGCACACACTGCGCTTTGCCAAGGGTCGAGCCGCGATCTGGCCACGGGGGACCGTGGAGAGGCGGCACCAGGACAATCCATGCTGGAAGCTGAGGGGGGGCTCTCCCCCCCACCCAGTGCCAACAAGCCCCGACCAATCCCCTCCTCTCTCCACAGCCATGCCGGGAAATCCAATGCATACACCTCGAGTGCCCATGGATTTCCTGTGGGTGCACTGCTTTGAGACAGGGATGGGGAACGGAGAGCCACACCTGGCCCACGGGGATCCCTGCCCCTGCCCCCTTTCTCCAACCACCAGTCATTTGCTTTCCTGGCTGGGGGTATCGCTGCTTTCTTGCAAGAGGCCAAATTCTCTCCGCCAAGGAAACTGCTGGAAGAAGCGTCCAGCCAAATGCTCAGCTCAGCCATCGGCGCATCGACATCCTGCTTCTGCCAAAGCCGTCTCATTAATTGCATGTCAATATGTTGCAACGACATCTCTCATTACTTGCAGACGGTCCCATTACAAGGAACAGGGGGTGGGACCCTCTTGCTTCGCTGAGCAGAGTGTGGACTCTGCCCTGCAACCTCGCGGGGGAACCTGCGTGCTCCGAGAGTGCAAAACATGAGTTGCAAGCGGACCCTGATGAGTTCTTGGGTGTTGGGCTGCCAATTTGCAGTGGGAAGAGGCGGCTGGTGAAGGATGAGGGGAGTTCCAGGCTGGAAGCTTGGGATCTGAAGAAAAGGGGCATATCTGAGACAAGGTGTGGGAGAAGGGCGTTCTGAATGCCTTGGAGCAAGACAAGCAAACAAATCAAGCCAGAGCTTTCGGAGAGCTTTTATTCACTATTCACGGGGTTGCCTGCGAATAAAAGGTTTATGCTGTATTTATACTTTTTGTTCAGTGTTTGCAGCTGTTACAAGATGCCCCAAGAGTTTTGCTTAAAAATGTAATCCATTAGTAAATGGAGTTATTGGAAGTTGTTGGCTACTCGTGAGGGCTCTGAGAGGGGAGAATTGACCTAGCCCCTCATAGCAGGGAGTTCAAAAGACTGGGATCTGCCACCAAAAAGGCCCTCCCTCAAGTCCAGCCAAACATACAAGTTGCATAAGTGACCTCGAGCCGGCAGAATTTGCTGGAAAGTTTTGTCCACGCTTCCCTCAAAATGTTCTTTCGGCCCCAGTCTGAACTTTGGCTGCTGATTCTTTCACCCATCTCTGGCCAAATTTCTCTGACTTAACCCAAGACCTACTTTCCGACTTGGGCAACCAGACCTTTCCAGGCACACAAATTCCAGAAAAGAACAGAGGGTTCCTCCTGCCCACGTGTCCCATCTTCCCCTGACTTTCCATTTTCAACCTCGCCCAGGAGATGGACTGCTCAGGAACAGACAGGTTTGAATTTTGGAATCCAAGATGCTTCTTGCTTTCTTGCATGAGACAACGGCACATATCCAATATTTCTGAGCAGGTAATCATTGTTTTTGTCACCTTAAATGTTCCGTTTGTCAGTGAGCAGACAACTAATCAAATCTTTTGCTAACTTTTTCTTTTGCCCCGTTTTTCTACCCAGAAATGGTTTGCGATCTCCAAGCGCCCTCAAGCGGCCACCAGCATCACGCCCTCTGCAACTTGGATGCAGGAAAAGCAAAGGTGAAGGTAGGAAAACCTGGATATCTATTTAGGGGCCATGCCTTTAGGCCGGTTTCAAGATCACCCCCCGCCCCCAAATTGTGCTACAAAAACGTGCACAATTTCACGATCTCCCGGGGGGCATAAAGCAGGAATTAAAAAGTTAATTTGATGCTGAAGCCATGACCCTCGCAAGCCCCTCTTACCACCATTCCCAGGACACTTTCTGAACAGTACCTTGTCGAACACAAATACACGTTTTTTACAAGATTTTAAATATGTTTTACTTCAGGATTTTTAGTTTCTCCACACTTTTAAAACGCAGACATATATAGCAATTAATCTGGATGCTGTGCTCCACCCTGTTCAGTGGAAGACTGTTGGGAGACCTCAGTAGCAGCCGGGATACTTAATTAATTCATTTAAAGTGTTAATTAAATATATGGGAGAAGTTTTAAAAAAAAGCCATGTTGAAATTTAGTAGGCAAAGGATTATGGAGAAATTATTGTTCTGTAATGCTCCTTTTGGGTGGTTTCTGATCTTAAAAGGGATCTGAGTAGGCATGAGACCTTGAATATGGTGACTAGAAGAGGGATTCTAACTAGGGGAGAAAGTGCTTTGGGGAAATGACAATTAAAGTGTGAGCATTAGGAGCGGAGTTGGAGTTAGTTTTATCATTAAATGTTATTAAATATTGTATTTATTAATTCCTTCTTGCTTTTCTGCCAAAACTGCCACACCAGGAAGCTAGTCTGCTCCAGGCATCATATGGATTAGCAGTTCCAGCACTAACATGAAAAATAGAGGGTGTGTTACATTTATTAATGAATTCGCTTTCTATCCCCGCTTTTTCCCAGCAGGAATGCATAACCCCCTCTCCCTTTTCTCCTCACAACAACCCTGTAAGGTAGGCTAGGCTGAAAATCTTGGTGTGGCCCTCGGTGAGCTTCGTGGCTGAGCGGGGACACCAAGATTAACAATAGAAACTCCCGAGGGCATCTCACATTTAATTAGATCATCAAATGATGTGCAGAGGTAAGCAGGATTTCTGTGCCACAATCTTCTTGTTGAAAAAAGCCAAGAAGGAAACTGGATTTCCACAAAGTGGCCATGTTCGGCCACACAAGGGCTGAATTTGACACCCACGGCCCGTCTCCCCACCCCAGTGCTAAGCCTTGTGCCACAACCCTGAACTAGCAACGCGTATGCAATGCCAATTACTGCTTGCTGGCTGTCAAAGCGTCTTTATAATAGGACTCAACACTCAATTAAAAACATTTTAGATTGCTTCCTTGCATGAGGCGACTGAGCAAATGAACCTATCGGATTTGCAGGAGTCCAATATTTCTGAAGCAGGAAACACAATTTCTGTTGCTTTAAATGTTCTGTGTATCAGTGTGCAGACAACATCCTAGAAGTAACTTATCAAACTTTTTGCTAAGTTTTTCTGCCCCGTTTTTCTACACAGAAATGATTTGCGATCTCCACACGCCCTCAAGTGGCCACCGCTTACCTCTGCAATTTGGATGCAGGAAAAGCAAAGGGGAAGGTAGAAAAAACTTGGGAATCTATTTAAGGGCCAAGCTGTTAGGCCAGTTCCAAGCTCACCCTCCGCCCCCAAATTGTGCTACAAATTCTGGATCTCTAGATCTGTAAGTGTGCATGTTATTACCAAATGCAGGTTGAGAAAGCAGGGATTAAAAAGATAATTTGATGCTGAAGCCGCCAAGTCTGCTTTTTAAATGAAACGTGGGAGGTGCGGATGAGAAAATCGGGCTCTGCAAAATGGCTGTCCAGGTTTTGCATGCCGACTGGGATTGCTGGACTGGAGACACCAAGAAAGGAAGATGGTTTCCCCGTTTTGAACATATAAAAGCACTGGATTGTGTATCTCCACTTTCAGAGAAGTCCTGAATGCAACCTGTCTTGATCCGATCCTGGCCTTGGCCTACTGTAAACTCTAATTCGAGAAATGCCCCAGTCCTGTAAAAATCTCAGCAGTCAGCCATGGTGGATCAACCTGGTCTTGGGCAAACCCCCTTCCCCTCAAATTAGCCTCTTTCCTAAATAGTTATACCAGCTCCCCCTTGGCAAATGTTAGACTCTTTTAAGAGTTCCCAGGATTAATTCTCTGATTTTCCTCTATGTTTGGGATGGCAGAGAAGGTGTGATCCTTCCAAAATGTCGCAGCCAACCTTCCGTCATCCTAAGAGGAGGAAAAGTCATGGAGTGTTGCAAAGATTGCGTTTTTGGCCTGGGCCCGCACACAAAGCTAGACAAAAGGGGTGGCACCTCTGCTCTTGTGAAGTTGGATTTGTCTCCGGTGTGGCGCGGCAGACAAGCAAGGTGGCACCCAAACTTTAGAGACGTCGTCAGAATTCCAGGTATGGCACACGCGAAACACCGCGAGTATTTTATTCCTTTATTATAATTCACAGAATGCACAGTGGCAGCAGGAGGGAGGCAGAAATAACCGACGACGGATAATAAAATTATAACATTAAGCATTCACAGGCCTGGCTTGTTGCCCGGACAGGGACATCCAAGAAGGACCGATAATGTAAACAAAGACTCACATCCTCTGCAATGGGCTTCAGAGTGCAAGAGAAGGGCCTCCGCACCAACCCGCTTCGTCCCTCCAGGATTCTGTGCTCGCCAGAAACAGCTCGGCAGAGAGTTCAGATGATATGTGTCATTGGACACGCAATTGTCCACTGTCCATGACAGGCACCACACAATCCCAAAACTGCAGTGGCTCACAAGATGCAATTTTGGTCATTGATTAAAATAGAAAGCGGGGGAGACACAAGCAAAAGAATAGTTCTTAGACTGGGGGGGGGGGGGGGGATACAGTCTGTTAAGGAAATCCCAAAACCCCATCTCTGCTGCACACAGATGGTAGTCACCCCTCCCTCCCTCCCTCCCTCCCACTTTCTGTAAAACTGACACTTGTAGGGTTTCTACCCCAAAGAAGCAGACAATTCATAGTTATGAGATGGGCTGGATTCCTTCAGTTCAGCCCAAAACATTTTGCTGCCTACACAACAGTCAACCCACATCCCTTCCCCAAGTAGCGATTTATGAGAAATTCACTTCAGTTAGGTTTCGATTGCATTGGCGGAATTTGTGCCATCTGGACTAAATACAGACTTGGACACGATCCATGAGTGACATCTGTACGTTTCTGTGCTTGCACTGTGAGTTACAGAGCAAAAAGACAGAAAAGCTTGCATTTGTCAGCATGCTAACCTTTGAAAAAGACACACGAAAAATACAGGCTTTGAAAAATGGGTCTTTGAGCCATGGAAGAATGTGGACATTTCATAAAAGTGCACAGCTGATGCATACGCCGGGAAAGATACTTGTGAAAATAATGAAGACTTTAATGAAAAAAGAAGAAAAAGCTTGCAGTCCGATCTGGATTTGAGTTGGAACAAGCTCTTAGATGGCATTCAGAAAGCGGCTGTGTTTTGCACATCCCTGCCTTCTAGCCAGGAAACCCCACAGATGTTCTTCTCCCCCTCCCTTCCCAGAAGTAAAAACGTGGTAATAATAAATTAAATAACTTATCCCTTTGGTGCCATTTTCCTGGCACTCAGAATTAGCTGCCTGAAGTAGCTGCCTCACGCTGTGCTGGCCTCTCTGATCCATCCTGCTGCTGCTTGGTTTTGAGAATGCGCTTTGCCAGAAACAGAGGTTCCTTTGCATCTGGAATGTCTGAGCCAGGCTCATTTTCAAGGGCTTTTCGAAGTTCTTCCCCTTGGCTGGAAAGCTTGCCCAGCCAGTGTGAAAAACTTTAAGGCAACTAGGAACACGACTCTGCAAGGAAAGAGTGTCTGACCAAACCGAGTTGGGTGGGGAAAGACGAGCGGCCCCCCCAGCAGCCTTTTCGGCCCACCAGCCCCTGGCAGCCTTCTCAACGCAGGAGTGAAAGGAGGATATGGGAGACAGTCAGGGCGTCTCACAACAGGAGTTTTTGGTCAGGCACAAAAGTAAACACCACCCTCTTTGGAGCGCCTCCGTCTCTCCGCATTAGTCCTTGACCCTGAGCATCACTAAGAAGGAATGAGGTAGGCCGAGAGCAGTGGCTCCATGCGGAGAGGCATCGAGGGGGAGGATCCGGGGCGGCAGTGGGGGGCCGTCCGTCACAGGCAAGGCAAAGGTTCAAGGAGAACAGCAGCTCCAGGTGGGCCGCTGTGGGGCAGGTCAGTGGCAGATGCGGATCTTTTTTACAAGTGGCACAGGACGGGAAATTCCCAGCTTAGAGGCCTCGTGCGGTTCATAAGGGCAGGAAACGTGGCAACTGAGCGCCTGGATTCATCAGCCACAGAAGCCCCACGGCTCCCTCTCGGGAATGCTGAATTTGGGGCACCGGCACCGGGCCTGCCTAGAAGAGCGTCAAGGTCTCTCTCCACTTTGAACTTTTTTACGGTCAAGCCTGTTCCTCCATGAACTGTTTTCCAAGCTGGGCTCTTTCCCGACAGGAGGGAACTCTTCCCCAATGGCGCCATTCCAGGTGCATCACCTCTCCCAGAGTTCCCCAGCCAGCATGGCGGAAGGATTCGGGGAGTGATGAGCAAACGCGCCTGGAGGATGGCAGGCTGTGGGACTGCATCAGGAGATTGTTTTAAACCCCACAAGGGGATCCTTCCTACGGCCTGCACAACACTTTCTCCAGGTTAGGGGGCGCCTTCTCCCTGCCCGGTCTGGACAACCTCCTCGCTGTGAAAATATCTGAGGCGCAAGGAAGAGCCATGAAGGAAAGGAGGGCCGAAACTGCAAAGCGTCTTCCTTCCCTTCACCCCGAGTCTTCAGTCCCCCGTTCTGCCGTCTGTGCCAAGTCTCCGACGCTCACGACGCCCACCGGGGAGGTCCTTCTCTGCAAGCCGGAGGGAGGGAGGGGTCGGCCGGCGGATCTGGCTTTCCTCTCTGCCTCTCTCCACGGAGGGCGGATTTTTTAAAAGCTCCCAGCCAGGAGAGCCTGGAAATATCAAGTCCTGAGGATCCCTGAGCTCGGAGGACGGTCCGCTTTCCCGCCAGGAGGGGAGACAGGAAAGGGGAGGCGAGGACGCCCTCCTCCGGGGGCTCGTCTCCCCCCGCCCCAGGCGCACACGGGCGGGTTCAGAGGCAGGGGTGTCCCGGCAGCAGGGCCGACGGGGCGGCGCCCGGCAGGGCGGGGGGCGCCTTGCGCGAGGCCTTCCGCAGCATCGGGCTCTCGGGGTGGTGCTCCTGCAGGTGCCGCAGGTGGCCCTCCTGGCTGTCGGCCGTGGAGCCGCAGTCCTCGCACACGTAGAGCTTGGCGCGGCGCTCCTTGTAGGCGTAACTCTGCTGCACCCCGTGGATCTTCTTCAGGTGGGACTCCAGCGAGCAGCGCTGCGTGAAGGCCTTGTCGCAGAGGTCGCACTTGTAGGGCCGGACTCCTGGGGAGAGCGAGTGCAAGCGGAAGGGGGGAGGGTGAGCCCCCGCCCTGCTCCGGCCGAGGCCAGGCCCTCGTCCGTCGTGGCGCGGCAGAGCCTCAGGGCCGCGTGGCCTCCGTCCGGCCCTCCTGGGGCTCATGTCCAGCCTTCCAGGTTGCCCCAAACACCCCCTCCCTCGGCCCTCCCACCGTGTGCCCAGCCACCGATCTCTGGGAGGGTCCCGCACCTTCGCGCAGCTCCTCCCGGTCTAAAAAGCGGCAATGCCTGCCTGATTGAACAATAACAACAACAATTCTTTAAATTGTTCTGTTGTTATTATGGATGTATTTATGTACTTTGTATCCTGTCGCGAGCCGCCCCGAGGCTTTGTTGCGATGGGGACGGCATAAAAATGTTTTAAATCAATCAATAAATAAATAAATTTAGTGGCCATCAGAGCTGTAAGCCAGAACACGCGGGTATTTTGCTCGCTTTGCTCCCACTTCATTTCCACCGGGATGCAGCCCCAAAAGCTGGGCCCTCCAGATGCAACGTCCAACAGCTGGGGAGCTCCTCAGAAAGCCACCCGCAGTGAGGCTCGGCTCAGAGCCAGGTGGAGGGGCCTTCTCTGTGGCAGCCCCCAAATTTCGGAATGATCTGCCCAGCAAGGCCCCTGGTACCAACCTGACGGTCTCTGCGTCGCCTGGATAAGACCGCCCACTTGGCAGCTTTTACCAGTGGCAAATGGTACTTGTGGATGGGAGTAGATCATCCCCAGCTGTTTCTTCGTGAGCTCAGGCTCATTAAATTGTGGCTCGGAGATTTTTTAAATGTCATTTTGCACCGCTGTTATTCTGGAGCTATTTTGTCCTGCCTTTGCTTGTGCTGATTCACTACTAGCTGCAGCTCTCAAGTGGTGCAGAAATAAAATGTAAAAAAAATAATAAAATGCTAAAACAAACGGAGGAAGGGTGCCAGGGCGGGCAGGACGCTTCCTTCATCCAACTGGCTGCCCAAGAGGATCGGCATATCAGCCCGACAGGCTCGTGTTCCGAATATCGGACTCAGCATCTCCCATAAGCCACTGCCCTTTCCGTGGCTGCCTCACACGCACGGGGAAAGCAGCCACGGTCCTTCCACACGTCCAGCTTCGACGCTCAGCCCCGTCCCAGGAAGAGTGGTGCCCAGTGACCACCAGACACTGCAGGCCGAGCCCTCCCCAGCCCCGCCGGCAGCCACAGGCCAAACGATCCCAGGCGCATCCCGACAGCCTGCGGGCCACGGGCGGGCACGGCATCCCTGCAGCCACGCTCACCCGTGTGTGTCCGGACGTGGCGCTTGAGGTCAAAGGTGTCGTTGAAGCCCTTGTTGCAGTACTGGCAGAGGTGGCGCTTGACGTGGCTGTGGCACTTCATGTGGCGATTCAGCATGCGCTGGAAGGAGAACGCTTTCTGGCAGTACGGGCAGGAGAGCTGGTCGCCCGGGCTGTCGCCCTGCGTCACCTGCAAGAGACAGAGAGGCCTCACTGAGCAGGGCCGGCACAGCGCAGGATGTCCCCTTCCATCCTCCACTAGCACCCGGGGCCCAAATATCTCAGGTTCCACTTCCAGAGAAGTTACAATGCCATCAACACTGCAGGGCCTTTTCTGGGAAGGCCCCAAGGTGCAGAACCTGCTTGCCCGGGAAGTCTGTGTGCCCTTCCCTGGCCTCTCTGGAGAGGCCAGTGCAGCCATTTGAGAAACAGATGCTGCTTATGTTGCGTTCACTTTTATCTAGTTTTGCATTACTTTTTAATCCCTCTCCAGCGGCCATTTGGTGGGAATTTCCAGGAGTTGGGCCCAACATCATCTGGAAGTCGGCGTGGACTGGCATACGTCTCAGCCAAGGGCAGGTCCTTATTGTCATGGCACTGCGTCATCACGTACCTTCATCTTGGGCCGCAGGAAGCCCGGCTCCATTTCCTGTGGCACGCCCCCCGGGACCTGGGCCGCACAGTGGGGCTGTGCCGCCAGGTAGGTGGCGTTTCGAATCGTCATGTCCAGCGGCATCGGGTACGAAGGAGGTTCGGCCACCGAAGGCTCCGGATCTTTCCACAGGGCATACCCGCCCAGGGAGACTGGAGGAGGCAGAAAGAGAAGCATGACCCTGGAGGGGTCTCCAGAGAACATCTAGTCCAACCCCCTGCCCAATGCGAGAGGCCCTAATGGGCAGCAATCTGCATACGGATTTCTGCATGGTTTGTTAACCACCCCAGGTGCAACAACCCCCTTTCAGCCCAAGGGCCTAATCTAGTTGCAGAGAATTCCTCCCCCGCATGAGAGGGAAGAAGAAAAAACCTTGCCTGTTTTAGCCTCAAGCTCTTCTTGCCAGTAATTAAGCTTTAAGGGAACCATCGCAGCCTTTTAGAAGGGGGAAACACCGCAAAATCAGGAAGCCAGCCAGTCCATGGCTGGGGGACAAGGGAATCCAGGGAAAATGAGGACTGGAGATGCAGTTTTGGCTTCCCCGCCTCTGTTCTAATTGGAAGCCCCACAGCAAGAGGGGATGCATGCTAGTAATTGGTCCCATGGGCAAATGCTCTCCACATTAAGGCATTTTTACTAATGTTCAACCTGAATCTAGCCCTCCTGCAAACTAAACCCAGCAGATCCAGTGGTGCCTTCTGCAGCGAGCAAAGTCTTTTCCCTCTTCTGCACAGAGACTTTCCGGGATTTGCAAAACGTCCACCCGCTCCTCACCCTCTCCAGGCTAAACATTACCCAGTTCCTTCAACCCTTTTCCACTGGACTGGTTTCCCACACCAGAAACAACTCCGAAGGTGTTCTGGGGAGAGCAGATGAAATCAGAGCTATTGATTATGTGTGCGTCCCATTTTTCTCCCATGGCAGAACTCAAGGGGGGCTGCATGCGGTTCCCAGGCGGTCTCCCCTCCAAGCTCAGGCCGGCCCCGGACCTGCTTAGCTTGGCAGTGGATGCCTTCTGCCCTGTCCGGGTACTAAGTCAACCTGAAAATCCCTCCTGCAGCTGCGTCACCCGCCCGACTCATGTTTTGCTTGCACTCCCTGGATCTTTTTCGCCTATACTCCTGGTGATGTTAGAGCAGACGCAGCAGCTGGGATCAAAAGGAGGCTCTCGCAGGGAAAAGGGTAACGCAACCACTCTGCCCTGTTGGCAAAGGGATCAGTGTGTGTGGGGATTAACCTCTGGGTTGATGGTCCTCAGATGCTGGCTGGGTGTGCATTGCCGCAACACACCCGAAAAGCAACAGGTTGGGGGAAGCTGCTCTAAACCGTCGTTCTGTCGGCACCGTGTCCACTTAGAAGTTACTCCCATTGAGTTCAGTGGGGTTTACACATAAGTAAGGGGATGCAGGCTGCACTACCTGAGCCTTGGAAGCCAGCCTCATAAACACACTGATTTTCAGTGGTTTATTAATTTGTTATATTTATATCTGGCATGTTTCCTTCCAAGGAACTCAGGGCAGCTTATGTAATTCTCCTCGTCTTATCCTCAAAACAACAACCCAGTGAGGTAGGCTGGGCTGAGAGTCCAGCTGGCTCCATGGCTAAGCAGGGACTACAGCCAGGATAGCCCGAGTCCTGGGCCCATGCTCTTCACCGCCCTCCCGCATGGGTTTAGCAGGGAGAGGGACAACACCCCCGGCTGAGCCCTTTCTTCAGGGTACAGAACCAATTCCATTTTGGAGAAACTCTCAGGGGCCACAGGGGAAGGTGGGTGGAGCCAAGGGCAAAAGGGGTGGAGCCCAGTCAAAAATGCTGATCTATTTGGGTGCTGTTGGATGTACACCACCCAGAGAGTCCCATTTCTCTGCTGCAAACCTAAACTGCAAAGCAATCTTTATAAAGGCAGCATGGTCCTGGGAGAGAAACGCTGCTTCTCGTTGAGTCAGGTGCTAGTCCTCATGACGAGAACTCCCCTGGAATAGTCATGGGGTTCTCTTCCCCTCCCACCACCCCTCCTTGTGCTTCCCTGCCCAGCACAAGCATCGCTGCCACGGCAAGTAAACAGACCAGAACCGGTTAACCAGCATGTTATTGGAAAGTCTAACCCACCCCAGGTAGCTAATTAGGTGTTTCCGGGCCGGCGCCACAACTGCAGCTGCTGTCACCTGCCTTGGGGAAGAAGAGTGGGAGGGCCATGTCGCAAGCGCCCTCAGCGCCGGTGCCGGAGCCCCACCCAGACGCCCCGTTCGTCCTGGCTCCGTTGCAAAGAGGATGAACCTCGCAGCCCTGGACAGCGCCAGCTGGGCACCCCCCACGGCCCAGGAGGCCCAGCGCTGCCTCATACTCTGCCCGCAGAAGGACAACGGACGGCTGACCGAACTAGCCAGGGAGGGGAGACGTCGCTTTGTTCCGGCTTTGGACGTTGCCTGGTTTCGCTTCGTTTGGGCTTTGAAGCCGGAATGGCTCGTGCGTAGGTTTAGGCCTACAACTCCCATCAGCCCTCATGGGGGGGGGGGCGCTGTTGACCGTGCCTGATAGGAGCTGTAGGCCAAAACATCTGGACAGCCAAGTGGGCAGTTTCAGGAACAAGCAGCCGAGTGAAGCCACTTGCGTGCAAGTGAACGACAGAAAGACACATCTCTCCCGCGCAAGTAAGAAATGTCACTTGGATTTCCAGCAAGGGGCCTGGAGTGGGCGGCCAAGACCTTGGACGCCCATCGCAGTTATGAGGGGCTCCCTTCCCTCCCGGCTCTGTTTCTTTTTTGACTGGAAGGGAGCATGAAAGCTTTGTGCCAAAACTGTTGCCACTGGAAACATGATGTTCCAGGATGCAATGCAACCTTTCCCAAAAGCCGCAGCTTTTGATACCCAGAAGGCTTTGAAGAGGTGCAGTAGAGGCTCAAAGAGCTGGACTGAGACTCAGGGGATCCGGGTTCGAGTCTCCGCCTAAATCCTGCTAGGTGACTTTGGGCAAATCAGGGATTCTCAGCCTACCCTACCTCACAGGGTTGTTGAGTACGAAACGGAGAGGAAAATCATGCAGTGGCTTTTTTTTATGAAAAGGAACAGTCCAGCCTCCCCGGCCACAACACACAAACACACACGAAAATTCTTAGGCACAGGAAAACTTAAGATAACAGAAAACAAAGCCAGGGCAAGCCGATGCCCGACTTGAGGTTTGTGCAAAAGATTTTGAGTTCACACTCTGACACTTCAAAGGCTTCCTGACTGGGCACCATCTCAGCTCAGAAGCACCGGAGATCTGGCGAGGTGGGGTTCGGAAGTGCTAAGCCGCCGTGGTTGCTCTCAGCAGCCGCAGAGCATGTTCCGATGACAAGGCCTCTGAGGAAGTGCAGAGCGTGTGTGCTATTAATAGCGTCACGATCCTGCATAATGAGACGGGCGCGTGTGGATGGGCACGTTGCTCTCTCCCACAATTTTGCTCACAGCGGCAGGGATGCCAGGCCCGGGAGGGCGGGCGTGCCTGCTTTGAACCGTATCCTCAGCAAGATTGTAGCTGCCGTGGCTTTTAATCGTGCATTCTAAATGCGATTTCTAATATTTATATATGAACTGGCTCTGAGATTTTATCGGATCAGGTAATTTCGACAGGACTAATAAAGAACTGAATCAACACCGAGCTTGGCACTTTTTCCTGCAGACGGAGCTCCTAAGGGAGGAAAGCCAAGGCATGTTGCTGGTGGGGGGGGGCATTGTGCCGAGCCGGGTGTGCTCCCGGCCTGAGACTCAGGCTCCACCGCAGCCCCAGGGCCTTTCCAGGAACGGCCCCATCTCCGGTCCCGTGTGTTTTGGTCACGGTTGCACGTGACACGGATGCGCCGGAGGGTAGGGTGGAATGTGTGGAAATGGAGACCGACACAGAAATAGTGCAGAGGTTACAGATGTTGGACCGGGACTTGGGAGATTGAGCCCCCGTTCGGCCACGAAGTTCCCTGGACATCTCTGAGCCTACCTCACAGGGTTGTTGTGAGGATAAAAAAATCGGGAGGGGAGAGATCATGTGAGTTGCCGTGGACAAGGGGAAAGGTGTGTGGCCAGGGGCCACACTGGAACCCCCATGGGCCTGTGGGCACCCCGAAACCCGTGCTCTTTGCTATCCAACTGATATGGCTTAAAACAGAAACCTGAAGGCCTGACAGTACCGTTTCGGGCAGGAAGGGGTGTCAAGGGGTTATTCAAATTGTCTCCCCAGTTCACCAGGTTGGAATCTATGGCGGAAACCTGCACCAGGTTTCCAGTGTGCTTAATTAGAAGCTAATTATAGACTCCCAAGCTGGGCCCTGTGGTGCGTGCCAAGATGGGGAATTTTATGAGCCAAACACCAGGTATTTGCCAGTTCCCCTCCGCACCCAAACCAGGTTGCTCGCCTTCAGTAGCCACGTATTTCAGGACATCTACCCACAGAGATCCTGACAGCCACAGAGAACCTCCAGATCTAAAGGCAGTGTATCTCCGAAGGCCTGTCCCTGGAGAACAAGGGGAACAGTGAATGCTGCAGCCATCGGGCCCATTTTCCCCAGAACACATGGCTGAAGGATGCTGGGCTCGGGGACAGCTTTGGTCCAACCCAGCAGGACTCTCCAGGGTTCAGTGTGGGTCAGCAGGGGACCATGGTTTCTTGTGTTATCCAGACCATGCCAAGATAACCAAATGGCGAGAACGATCAGAATCCACAAACCAACAATGACCCGTGGGTCTTCATGGGTTGCTCAAGGTTAACAAACCATGATTACTGAGCGTGACTGGATGCACACAAGCACAATAACTCACGGTGGAGTGTGGGTTGTCATTGACCGGTGCCTTCTCACTCAAACGGGGATCGTCGCCTTGTCTGAACCCAGCCAAGAGAACAAATTTCGGACAGCCACCCACTGTTCACAACCCAACAACAAACCACAGGTTCTCTCCAGATCGTTCATGATTACAAGCCATAGCTTGTTAGTACCACTGGGCTGAGAGAACAGGTTAACCCTGGTGCCAACTGAACTCGGTCAGTCTGTCTCTAAAAAGGGGGGCTCTTAGCAAAGCTGAGGAGCCGATGCCTCCTTCTCTCACTTTCTGGTCAGCCTCAGGACGCATGGAAAGTTTCCTAGGACGTTCGGAGATGGGAAAGGAAGTCTTCTTCTCCACACAGAGGCTCTGAGCAGGACACATCCAAGGTTGTGACACCTGAAAGCTGCCAGTCTTTGCCAACCTGGGGCCTGTTTTGGACTTCAGTACCCATCAGCCTAGCCAGCACGGCTGGGGCCAGGAATGGGGAGAGCTGGAGCCAAAACCATCTGGAGGGCACCAGGCTGGGGCAGGCCGTCTTAAAAGATTCGGGCTGGCACAAACTTCCAATCAATGGCTAATCCTTTCTGCGAAATGGTAGCGTGCTAAGTAATTAAAAGGGAGAATTAAGAGCTGAAGGCGGATTCCCGCTTCTCTGAAAGGCGCATGAAGCTAGCAACTCCAAGAGAACTCTCCTCCCCATTCTAGCCCGTTTTAAGGAAGGGAGTAGTCCCTAGAGGTTAGAGCTAGAGGCTGTGACGGACTTGCCCTCATTCTTACAAGGATCTCTTGAGTACGTGTGGGGTGGGGGGAAACAGCCTGGGGCAAGATTTTGGAAAGGTTTATGGCGCTGGGTCAGTTCAAACATTTCCTCCTCACTTTCTAATCAACCTTCAAACCCGCTGGGGGCTTCTCCACGGGTGAAAGGCAGGCAGGAATTCAACAGGTCACTTGCATCCTCTCATGACTCTGCAGTCAGTCAAGTTCGACTGTCCGGGGCAAACAGGCCAAGATCCTGCCCGTTTAGCAATATTACTAATAATCGCCTCCAGCCCTGAACATTTTAGTAAACACAAGATCGCACCTTTTTTTAAAAAAAAAAAAAAGTGGATTGTTTCCTCTTGAATTACGCCCCCTCTGTTGTTGGGTGTTGCATCCTACGCACTCCGTCGTGGAAGCCCCCCACCCCCAATTGCGGAATCGCCTTGCACGTGATCCTGCGGGTGGGAGGGGGGAGCATGGGGGCAGACGAGCAGCCGGCGCGTCCAATCTCATCTCGTGCCCTCCAGCACAACACCTCCCCCCACCCATTCAACCCCCCCCCACCCCCCAGCACGCACGTTCACTTCTATTTGCGCCTCCGGCCTTACAGACTTGCCGGCGAGTTTAAACATTAAGAGAGGCGCGCGGGGAGGGGGGCGCGTAACTGCGCTTTCCAGCATTCTTGGTTAGTGCGGCGCGCGGGGGGGGGGGGACAAAAAGTTTTTGGGGGACTCCCCGGCCTTGCCAGGGGCCCCCCCCCCCCCCACTTTAAGGATCTGAAAACGTTGAAAGAAGCAAAGAAAGTGCTTGCCGATAACGGGACCATCTTCTTGCCCTCCTCCTCCCCCCACAGCAAGCAACACAATCCTGGACTTTCCACCTCCCCCCCTCCGCTTTCCCCACCCAGCCGCTCCTCCCCGGCCCTCCGGCGGGTGAGATGGGTGGAGGGCGCTCCTCTCAGGAATCCCGCTGGGCTCCCCCCGCACCACCCGCGGCGCAAACTTTGCCCTCCCGACCCTGGGACGGCCGTTATCCGCCACCTTCCCTCGCATCGCCCCCCCCCGTTCCTCCCTCAGGTCCGCTCCACCTTGGAGACATTTTCCTGCGGAGCAACTTTTGAATGGAAGGAGCGAGCGAGCGAGCACAGGGCGCGCTCAGAACAAACAAGCGCGGCGCCGAGCCGTTCAGGAGGCGGCGGGGGGCGCGCTCTCCCGCGGCACCCAAGCGCGACAGGCCGAGACTCCGGTTTACTTTCCCAAACTCCTCTCCTCCCCCTCCGGGACTCACCTGGGACGTAGATCTCGCCTCGCTCCTCATCGGGAAGTTCGCTCCAGTTCCTCTTGCCGGTGGAAACGCACGTTTTCTTCACCAGGAAAGCTCTGGGCATCTTCGCGGCCGGGGGGGGGGGGGGGGGGGCGTGGGGGGGCTCTTCTGCTGCCGCTTTTTTCCGCGCTCTTTTCAACCCCCCCTCTGCCCCCCTCACGAGACTCCTGGCGACCCCCGGCCCACGCACGCAGCCGCGCACACCGCGAAGGGGGGCGCGCAGGGCGAAGGACCACTTTCCGGACGGGGCGGCCCCCCCCCCGGCGCCGCGCGATCGTCCGCGCCGCGGATGGAACACCGGGGCGCGCGGCGTTCGGCGGATGGAGCGCTCGCCCCGCCGACGTTCCAACGCGGTCCCTGTCGCCCCGCGCGCGCGGAGCTGGCTGCGCGCTCCAGGAAGCGCCCGGCCAGGTGAGCGGAAGGCGGCGCAGGTTAGGGCTCCCTGGCGGCCGGCGGGCGCCCCCGTCCCCCCACGCTCCGCGCGCCCCTCGGGGGTCTCCTCGCAGGCTGGCGGCCAGGAGGGGAGCGGATCCGCGCGGGTCCCGCAGGCCTGCCCGGGCGATGCGGAGGCGCCAGCCCGGTAGCTCGCGCGAGCCCGGAGGAGACGCGAGTCAACTCGTCCCCTTTCCTGGGCTGCTAATTAGATCAGATGTTTTTGGGGGTGTGGTGGGGACGGCGCATGCGTTTGGAAATAACGGTGTCCGTACCTTTTTGCGCCTCCGCGCGCGCGCCAGTGCGTGTGCTACCTGGCTGCCAAACTGGTTTGGTACTGGGAGAGGGGGAGGAGGAGGAGGAGGACCTGACGCCGGATTTCGAGGATAGTTTCAGTTCTGGGCGTCTGTTCCTTCTTTTCCTTTCTTCCACACGATCCTGGGGTGTTTTGTTTTGGTTTTGTTGTTGGTTTGGTTTGGTTTGGTTTGGTTTTTGTTTTTGTTTTTGATGGGGATGTTTATTCCACCCACCCGCTTTCTTTTCCCTTCGACTTTTTCCCCCTGTCGAGGCGGAGATCGCGTGCAGGACTTCGGCGAGAACCGAAGTGGGGTGGGCTTCCAAGCCGGCATGGCCAGGATCGGGCCCTGCGGGGCTCCCCCCCCACCAAAAAAAGCCCCCCACGCAACGGCACCCACTCTCCCAAATTAAAGGGATCTGAACGCGAGGTGGAAGTGAAGCAAGGCTGGGAAGGGAAGGGGGACATGCCCTGCCCCCCCCAGCCCCGCCTTCCCTTCCTACCTGGAATGAGAAACTTGGTGAAACACAAAGGACAATGCTTAAATTCACGGTGCGGGAGCAAGCGGGCGGCGCCCCCACCCCGAGCCAAGCGTGGAGGGGGAGTTGGACCCTCGCCAGCGTGTCAAGGAGATCCGCGTCTCTTTTCTTACATGGATCAAGGAGTAACTCATCCCCAGGAATTTAATAAACCAAGGGTGCTTTTTAAAAATTAAATCAAGGGTATTCCCGATTTGCCAGGCCCCTCTCCCCTGCAAGAAAACTGTATATAAACTCACTTGTAATTTCCCACTCACTGAAGCCCCCACTTGTGCCCCTAGACTGGGCACTAAATAGAGCTTTAAAAATGTAGATTGCACCTGCAAAAAAATTTCACTTCAGAGCGAAAGCCATTCCATTTCCACACTCCGTGTTTTGCTTTTACAGATATTCACCAACCACTCTGCTGGTTTGGTACTTCTTTCCATAGGGTTTCCCCTGCTGCTAAAGTTGCACATTTCATAGCTCATCTGAGCTTTGGCTTGTTCCCGAGCCTGGTTTTTGTAATTATGGTGCATGATTAGACAGAAAAAAAGCACCACAATTCCAGCATGCCCCAGACAGCCAGCGTGGAAGTTGTAGAAACAAATTTTTCTACCTAATCATGCCAAGATTGCATCCGTAATCAATTGACACACCTCTTATTTTACCTGGAAATATATTTCAACAGGTGGGAAATACAAGAGGAAGATAGAAAATATCCTATTTGGGCTACATAACTGTTGACACTCAGTTCCAGAACTGGTTACCAGTGGGAAAGAGGATAATACACTCTGTATTGATGTAATAATAATTAATACTTCTAAGTGGTGTGGTAGCTGATAGAAAATTATCCAGAGCCAACACAGACTCCAAATTATCACTCATTTTACATAGGAGAAAACTCCCTGGTTGCAGTGGGACTTCCTTCTCAAATAGGCATGAGAAATAACTCAGGATTATAGAATATTCTCCAGAGGCTGAGGAATTCCTGCTGCTGCTGCTTTAGGCTAAGACTGAAGTCTTTAAAAGTTGTCTTTGTGCTGACTTGAACACAAATTCTAAGCTACAACCCTGTGTGGAAAGATTAAGAAGCAAGTCTCTCTCCTCTGACACACAGGAACATTTCAGGAAACATGCACAGAATTCGAAGATGAGGCTGCATCCCCCAGTTCTTGACCTACAACTAATCTACTCTTGCACTCTGGGGTCTGGCCCAGAGTGTTCTTTTGGGGGGGGGGGGGCTCAAATCTGCTGACATGGAAGTAAGGTGTTTATGGGGTTCTGCCTTAAGTGCAGTTTATGAAATTTGCCCCCACCAAACAGTTCAAGTATTTTTGGCTACTGGACTTTATAGAGATATTTAAAGAATTTGCAAGACACTATACATAGAAATACCAGTTTATTCCACTCAAGGCAAATGAAAATGCTAAATCCATCAATCTGGGGCAGAGGAAAATATTGGGGGTAAACCCCTCTCCCCACCCTAATTTAAACATTTCTGGCAAATCTGCATTACTGGTGATAACATTAGAATGACCAAAAAGCCGGGACATGAGGCTTACCTTGAAGATTCCAGTTTTGCTGCAAGATTGGGAGAAAAAGACCTACCAGAAGCTAGGAAACCAGCCAGGTTAGCATCTCTGGAGAGTGGGAAGCCAGAATTCTGCTTTACAAAGCACAAGTGTAGCTAGCCACCCCATTTCTACACTGTTTTTCGGTATGTGTACTGTCACTGAGGCACGGCCATTTCCCTGACAGAGAGAGAGAGAGAGAGAGAGAGAGAGATTCTAGTTCTTACGGTTCTGAAAAGTGCTGATTGGGACAGGGACATGCAGTGGAAGAAAAAGCTTTCTCAGCATCATCTCTCCTAAATGATCCCATGGGATATAAGCAACCAGTTGGGGTTTTGTCGCAACATGTATCATTTTACGTGTGTTTCCTTGTTTGCATTGCCTTCCCGTTTTGACGTCCATGGTCCCAGTTTGGGAGATGCATAGAATAAGAGCACTCTTATTATAACCGTGCACAAAGATGAGTTATATGGATGTGGTTTTGTTGTCCCGTCACAGGGGTAGGACTTTGGGGCAGAATCCAGAGCCCCCGTTGAGCAGATGAGTCAGGATGTTGCTTTAGGCAAAACACACGTACATGAGGGTCTCTCTAAAGCTCCTGGAAAGGGGAAAGTGTTTCGGAAAGATTGTATCCAAAGATTCAAAAGTTTCTCTTGCTCATCCATCTCTGCTGTTTTGCCTGGAAATCTTCAGGAGTCTGTAGGGCGACTGTAAAGGACTGAGAGTCAAGCAGGGATATTTTGCCTTCCTGTCCCACCCGTGTATCTTCCCGTTGTCAAGACACATTTTGTATTTCTTCCAGCTACCATGTGCGGTGCTTGAAAGCCACCTTTCCTGACCTAGTGTCCTCTGGATGTCTTGGAGTACAACTTCTATCATCCCCCACCACTCTACACACGGATGCAAACAGAGGGTCCCGCAAGGGCCTGTTATCACAACTGGTGCGTTTTAACTTGCCTCCAAGGACGTGCCTGGATACCTGTGAGCCGGAGTGAGCCCTTGGCAAGGTCAGGCCAGGTGTGTATTCCTGGGCCTCCCAGAAACGCAGGGCCCTTTTGAAAACAACTGGCTCAGCTCGCCCCGGGGCAGGCAGGTGGGGTGCGGGGCGAGCGCGCTGTTGTTTCTCCAGGTTGCGGCCCGGAGGATCCTGGAGGAGGCGAGCCGCTCGCTCGGCATAGCCGAGTGGTAAGTCAGCTGGGCGGGTGGCGCTCCTGGCCCTTCCTGCGTGGGCTTGCGAGGCCTGGTGCCTCTGAAATTGCGCCTGACGTCTTCTCAAAACACCTGGGTGTGGACAGCCAGCTCCTCTCTCCCAGGAAAGGAGGCGAGGCGAGGCACCGCACGGCCCGGCCCGGCACGGCACAGAGGAGGCGATCTTCCTCCCCAGGGATACGAAGATCCTTGTCGCTCGGAGGAGAGAGTGGCTTCGCTCCCACCTCTCCTGCGAAACGTTCTTCGCCTCGCTGCTGCTCTTGGGCAGTCCTCTCTTGAAGAAAAAGAAAAATGGGGTGGGGGAAGAAAGGGGGTCCCCTGGCTTGCATCTGGCGCCGCAAATCAGCTTGCTGATTCCTGCTGCATCAGACCCCTTGAATGGGCCCACTTTTGACCCACACGTGCTTCCCTCCCAACGCCCCCCCCCCCCCGAATCTCTCTGCCTGACTTTTCTAAATCAGAAGTTCATGCATCTCTTTTTAGAAACAGGGATGCCCCTCACAGACAGAGTCCTGTGAACACAGAGAGAGAGAGAGACTTCAGAGCATATTAAATCAGCATGTGTAAATTTGGGGGGGGGGGGTCATCTTGCACGCCTGAGCCCTGCGTCTTACTATTAGGGGTTCGATGGTAATGGCATGGATAATGGTGGTGCGGAGAGAACCCTGGACATTTGATGGCGCGAGTCTGAGAAATGTGGGAAAGGGATTAAGGCAGCCTTCTCCATCCTGGGCCCCCTAGAGGCGTGAGATCGAGGTTTCTAGTCCGCACCTCAGAGGTGCCTTGTTTAGGACGTCCACCACGCTCGCCTAAATAACAGGCTCTAGCAAATTGGGCATTGGTTTTCCAAGCATGGAAGAAATAGAAATAGAGGGTGTCCGGGGTCACACAGCAGACCAAGCGTCCTTGATGATGTTGTTGTTGTCTGAGCCTAATAAATCGGGTCTGAGGGAACGAGAACCTGTGTCCATGCGGTTGTTGCTGGATTAGGACTCCCATCAGCCCCAGTCAACATAACTGGCTGGGAAGGCACTGG